AATTTTAACATCGACAAAAATTCCATAAGGGTAATAAAGCGTAGTTGCTGTTGATCCAGCTGTACCGTTGCCAGCAACAATAGTTGAGGTGAGTACAGTATCATTTAACCATTTCTTAACAACTTGATGAGAATTAGACGCTGAACAATAAAGAGTATTACTAATATCAACAAAAATACCAGCACATGCATTAGGAACTAACATTACAGAAGTACTTATATTTGAGTTAAATGAAAATTTATCAACTCGATGATTATTTCCGCCATTATCAACATATAAATCACCTGAAGGAGCAGCGAAAAGATCAAATGGTAAACTTAGATTACCAAAAATAATTTTATCTGGATTAATACTTCCATCGTACCATACTATAATCGTATTAGTTTGTTGATTAGCTACATAAACAGTATTATTAATACTAACAAAAACACCATATACGAGAGTTCCAGCCGTACTAATATTAGCAAATGTAGTTGCATTTATATACCATGTTGTAGATGGACAGAAGTTTGGTTGATTGATAGTTGTACCTAAAAATAAAAATAAATTAAAAAAATCATTGATGCTGTCTTTTAAACATATTCATCAAGTTAAATATTTCCTAATATAAAAAATATTCTAATTCACTTACTATAAATATTGGTTGTTAAATAAAATTTTTGTACTCGACTATTATTTTGATCAGTAACATATATATTTCCATAACTATCAAAACTAAAAGTCGATGGATTATTTAATTGACTGGATGTTGAACCACTGGTAGACCCGCATGCAATGATACATCGAAAGCCATTAGGTCCTGAACCAATAATACGACTATTATTGCTGTCTACAATAAAAAGATATCCATCACTATCAAGAGCAACATCACTAGGACAACTAAGTGAAATAGTTCCAGTAGCTGTACTTCCTGCTACTGTAGTTGCTGTTACTTGTCCAGATAAAAATAATTGTACTCGATTGTTTCCACAATCAGCAACATATAAATTAAGATTTGTATCAACAAAGATTCCACGAGGATTATAAAGTGCATTCGAAGTTGATCCAGAACATTCTGTACCAGCAGCAACAGTCCACATACTTGAATTACCATTCAATGATTTTATAGCAACTTGATGTTGAGTATATAATGAACAGTAAAGAGTATTATTAACATCGATAAAGAGATCATAGCATGCACCTTGAACCTGCATTACTGAACTACTTATATTTCCGTATGATGTCCATTTATCGACTCGATTATTTGCATATCCATTATCGACATAAATATCACCAGTGATTGTAGCAAAGATACTATATGGAGAAGTAACACCACTAGTAATATTTCTTGTGGGTATACTACTTCCTGATAACCATACTTGAATTTGATTGTTTGGTGTATTGGCTACATAAATCGTATTATTAGTGTCGACGAAAATTCCATATGGACCTGTGCCAGCTGTGCTACTATTTGCAAAAGTAATTCCAACACTATCCCAAGTAGCATAGGCGCCAAATTTTGGTTGATTGAATGATATAACTAAAATAATATTCATTTTATTTTTATTCTATTATATACAAATCACATAGTTGCTCAGGGTGGGTATTCATGTGCTCTCGATGCTAAAATAGTTCGTGACGAGATTTGTACTATTCAATAAGGTCCATTTAGAAGGAGAAAACATTTATAACAAATTATTCTAATATTGGATTCTTTTTTCGAATTATGATTAGTTTGCTATACTTTCTGATCTATAGAACTAGATGTGTTAGAAAATATATAATACTACTATTTTTATTTCTTATGTACTAGATCAGAACTTAGTAAAATGCCTATAAGTTTAAACAGAAAATGGCAAGAAAACAAATTCTAACAAGTTTTGAATACTATCCATTCGTTCTTTTGATTCGTATTGACAGTAAAACAATTTATGAAATTAATGTTCATATGAGCATCTGATATTAAATATATTTCTGATTAAATACTAGCAAAACTCGATTGTTTTCAACTAAAATATTTTCTAATCAGAAATCAGGATGAAAAAGTCCGTAGGCGAGAATTATGCATAGCGTTGAGAATAGCACCTTAATTAGTCATCTTAAATTATTTACAACTCATTTCTTGTTCCTACACACTCACTGGGATAGTAAACTTTTGTATCTTCATGCACATTCTAGTAAGTGAGAGGGAAGGTAGATGTATTAAATACACATTCTCAGGTATTACATTACCATTGGAATAAGACACGGATGTTGATGCAGTTGTCGTTTGAACGACGCTCATCATAGTTGTTGCTGTGGTTGTATCTAAAACAAACAGAATTTTGCTTATTTTAACTCCGATGAATAAGATCGTTTATCAGTATATATACTTACTACAGAAGTTTGATAATAAAAGAAATTTTTGAATTCTGTTATTATTCTGGTCAACAACGAATATATTTCCATAACTGTCAAAACTAATACTTTGTGGATAATTTAATTGACTGGATGATGAACCCTGTCCAGAACATGCCGCTATACATCGAAAACCGTTAGGTCCTGAACCAATAATACGATGGTTATGATTGTCAGTAATAAAAATAAATCCATCACTATCAAGTATAACTGAAGTTGGATAGGAGAGTGTGATCGCACCTGTTGATATTGTTGTTCCATTCAATTGTCCTGATGCAAATTTTTGAATTCGACTGTTTGCATAATCAGCCACATACAAGTTCAAATATTTATCAACAAAGATCCCCACAGGACCATTAAGTGTAGTCGACGTGGACCCAGCTGTACCACTTACACCGGCAACATTACTCCATACATTTAAATTTTGGGTCAATGATTTGTAGATAACTTGATGATAAGAATACATTGAGCAGTAAAGCATATTGTTAATATCCACAAAAATACCAAAGCATGACGAACATGTATACATTGCTGGAACACTATTTGTCGTATTCCATGCCCATTTGTCCACTCCATAATTTGAGTACTCATTACCAACATAAGTATCACCATTATCCGTGACGAAGAGAGGGTAAGGTCCGTTTAAGCCACCTGAAAGATTTCCAGTAATTGTAGTACTTCCATTAAGCCATATCAAGATCCTGTTGTCCGCTCGATCAGCTACATAGACAGTGTTGTTTGTATCGACAAAAATACCCAGAGGATATGTGCCGACCAAGGTGCTCGTGGCAAACGTTGTAGCATTCTGGTTCCACGCTGCATTTGCACAAAGTTTTGGTTGATTGTATGAAATGCCTAGAGAAAATAATAAGAAATGATTATAAATCTAGCGATAGACATTCTACATTCGATCAATTTATTTGAAAAGAAAGATTGTTGTATAAAGTTAGATATCTTATTTTAACAAAACGCATACCTGATGTTTGATCAATAAACAGCGATAATAACCAAATATTGAACAAGTTAAATAATATCATATTATTTATCTGAAATAAAATCAATAAAGTAGTTATCCGATATAACATCTTCAATAAGATATTCGTGTATAACATGATTGCATCTAAAAGTTCCTTATAATTATTTGATGATATACAAACTGAAAGGAGTATCGAAATGTAAAGATAGAAATTTACAAACTCTTGTTTTCTACAGACGTAATCGATATTATTGTTTAATATTAATTAATTGACAGCACAAATTATAACAAATGCTAAGGAGGAATCAATATAAATTATAGTAGACGTTAATTATAAATAACTCGTATCTTTAAATAATTGAAGGCTTAGATTTTCTATTACATTTTAGCACGTCATATCCTATGGTAGAAGGAAGTTGTTTAAAATAGAAGCGTCCTCTATCATGGCAGACATTATTAACCAACACCAACTGCTCTTGAAATGACTTAAATAAAGTATAGTCACTAAAAATAAGAAGAATTTTGAAGCATTTACTAAATTAATAGTTTAGTTTAAAAACATCAAGTCAATCTCTTTAATATGGAATGATATTTTTTTTACATAGTCAGTTTTGTTTTATTACAATATATCAGTGATGATTTTTTTCCTCGATGATATATCATATATTGTTAAATTTTTCTAAGATATATATTTGTTTAACTAAAAATATGTTAACGTTATGTTGTTTAATTAAAAATATGAATTTTTCTATTTTTTCTTTCGTATCAAAAGGCCTCGAGAAAGCATTTTACAGATGTATTTCTGTATATTACTTTTAGTATTATTTTAAAAAAATACTTTTTATTATTGTAAAATCTAATTTTGAAATGAGGAAAACAATGTTTTTTGTTTGTTTTATGTTTCTATGAAAGAGAATGATCGTTTCTCATATCTGATTGAAGGCCTTTATCTAAATAAAAATATTTTTTTATTGTAACTATAACTGTTCTATATACTTCGGATTTAAAGTTATATATTGAACTTACTTTTTCAAGATAAATCATGTTTACAATATATTGAGAAATATCTGCACAATGTGACTTAGTATTATATAGAAGAAAAACATAAAGAATGATACTATAAGTGATCATAATTATGTAGTTGGAAAGTTTTCTATTTATTAATCTTACTTGATATTGGTGAAATGAATAAGCAGTTGTATTATATTTTATGAAAAATATATTTCTTTAAATAAGAAGAGGAAAAAGTATGGTAGAGCAGTATTCTCCAGTGTTTTTAATAAATACTTACACTTTATTTTATATCATCCCGTCGGCAGCGATTCTGTTTTTTTCTCTCATATTCCGCATGGTTTATCAGATGTAAAAACAAAAAAAAAAAAGAATAGTCATATTTAGGAAATACTTATTTAAGATTTGAAAAAAAATATATGAGAGTAGATTAATAATAATAAGATATAATCATAAGAAATTCTAAAAAAGATTCAAGTCAATTATTAATTCTACTCCAGATGATAACTGCATTTTTCTATTTAGAATTATTAAGAAAATAATAGAAATAATATCTTTCATAGATAACAGTGACGAAAAAGAAAAAAAAGTGTCCTTCATAGATATGATAGCACAGTCTACCTATATTTAAATCTTGTTTCTAAAAATTTTCATTAGTGAAAGCTTTTTAACTAATAGAAAAACTTACTTATTCAAAAAGAAAATAGGTAAGAAAAAAAAATTCATTTATTATTACAGAAAGTATATGACTTAGCAAACACATGTGTTTGTTTATTATTAAATATCTTACTTTCTATAGAGAATGATATATTCACTGGAAAACATTAAATAAACAAATTTTATATTGTGCATTGCCTATTTTACTATTGTTTGTGAAATTTTCTAATAAAATAGAGAAGAAAATCTATTATAGTAGATCCATATTGATATGAAAAATAAAAAATAAAATTTTTTCTAATATATCATATCGAATGTAATATTATCGACTATTTGGCTATTTTCTCAATAGAAACTATACTCTCATGTTCGATATATAAAACAGGTATTTTTTTTTGTATATTCAATTAAATAAAATTTCTTTTTACAAGAAAAAAGAAAAAAAGAGAGTATTGTTTATTTAAATATAAACGAGGTAAAAATGATTCATCATTTGCAGTTTATTACAATTCTGTTGTATAATTTCGAAAAAAAAAAATTTCATTGTAGGGTCATCATTAAAGATTCATACCTTTTGAACATGTCTGATAATAAAAATAATAATCACACTGGTATTTTTTAGTAAAGAAATATTAAATAAGTAATAATCGATACTTGTAGCATCTGACGTTTTTAGTCTCTTTCATTTATTCTGTATTATTTGTATATAAATATTGTTTGTTATAAGAAGAACAAAGACATAAAAGGTATTTTTCATTTTATACTTTCAAAATAATCGATTGATGTTATACTAAATATAATCTAAGTATAATTTATTATATAACTACCCATATTCATACCCAGACAAAGTCTTGGCTGCTAGAGGAGGTGATTTTGTAACATACATAAATCCTATCATGTGCGAATTGCATGATCCTAGTACTGGACAATAGAACAATACTTATGAATTAAATTCTGGTCGTGATTCTCACACAACTGTTCTAATAAACAATTATCCTCATCTTGATCAATTGCAAAAAATGTTTTTTGTTTATTTGTTACTTCAATCATTTGAATATTTTAACTCTCTACAAATCTGTATTGATTAAATATAAGAGAGAAGTAAAGGAGTTCAAGACTCAACAGAGTCCTGGATTCTTGAATTTCCTTCTTACTTAAATGCATGAATAGAAAATTTCGTTTAAAAACATATAAGATCACTTATAACTCATCAGATTAGCCAATAATGATTATAGGTTCTTGAATTACCTGTTGTATTGATCTCCCTAACACGTCAAACAGCATTAGATGACACTGTAACTAATTGAATAAAGCATATTAGTACTTGGAGTGTCGTATAGTGTGTGGATCTTTTTTCTATCAACCTCAATAATTTTCTTTTTTTACTAATTTTTCGAACATCTTAAAGAATAACTAGTATCTCTTGTTCATATCATAGAACATGTCTGTCTCCTTGACAAATTGATCACTCTTTAAAATAGGATAAATTCCAAGGTGTTTATTTATTATCATAGATTTAGTTACTGTTTCATTTGATTTTACTCGTTTGCTCCTTCTCTGATGTATTATATAATTTTATCTTCCTTTTTTCTTCTTTCTACTCTTTATCTTTATTCGAAATACTCTTTTTTTAAGGTAATTAAAATTATTAGTTGACATATACTAATCAAAAGTTTTCCTCCTCCTATTTTAATCGCTTGATTAACGATTGACGTCAAATACAAATGATAATTGTATGTTACATTATGTAAATGCGTGAACAATCCGAACATAACGTAAATGTAAATTATTGTGATCATCATTAGTTCGTATTTCATTTCTTTTCTTTGACATAGAAGAAAAAAGAACCCGATTATTTCAAGTAGACTGAACAATGTTTTGCTTTATAAATAAATGCTCCGACGTCAGTTATTCTGAGAACAAAATCAGATCGACTTTTTTTAATCTAAATTATTAAGGGTAACTGACAATTGAAGGAATGGATCTTTCATTGATATACTTTGGTCAACAGTTTACAATTTATGGTAGTTTAGTTTTCTTGTTGATGGGCGTATTTGGAAATAGTATGAATATTTTGATATTTTCAAGTGTTCGAACCTATCGAACAACTCCTTGTTCATTCTATTTTCTTATTGGATCAATTTTCGACAATCTTTATTTAATAATCAATCTTACTACTCGTCTTATAAGTACAATTTCTGGCGTTGATTCAACTAGTACTTCACTCATTTGGTGTAAGATCCGGCAATTTTGTATCATTACTCCTAGTGTGATTACTCTTAGCTGTTCATCTTTGGCTACAATCGATCAATTTCTAGTCACATCAAAACACGCTCGTCTACGTCAATGTAGTAATATAAAATCAGCTCATTGGATTGTAGTTATTGTCATCGTTTTTTGGTGTCTTCATGGAATTCCTTGTCTCGTGACGTCTAATATTGTAGGCGACGACTCCAATAAAGATTGTACTATCACTAATGCGACGTATAATGTCTATATACCAATATTTGTATTTCTCTTTCTCTGCACTATTCCGATGTTTTTAATGATTTTATTCGGATGTCTTGCTTATCGTAATATTCAACAAACAATACATCTTGCTGAACAACATGCTGATCGTCAACTGATGAGAATGGTGTTGATTCAAGTAGTGCTTGTTATTGTGAGTAACACTCCATTTGGTGCTGTCACTGCTTACGGTTTAATCACAGCTGGAATTAATAAAGATCTTAATCGACAATTGAAAGAATATTTCGCCGTATGCATTCTCATTCTTGTTAGCTATTCTTACTATATCGTATGTATTCTTCTTGTGATAGTATTGAACATAATTTTATTGAATCTGATTTTAGGGTAATTTTTACATGTTTTTCATTTCATCAAGTCGATTTCGTCAAACAGTGAAAGATCGATTGTTCTGGTGGACAAGATCAAATCAAATCAATCCATCTCACACATCATAGTCTGAAAACAAAACATTTGTTCAAAAAAAACTCATTAGTTGTAAACATCTGCTGTTTTTATTATGTATTCATTTAAATCTAGTCTTTAAATAAAAAGAGATTTTGTAAGGTGAACATATAATTTTTTAGGGGAGTACGCACGACACAGCTACTGTTTTCTTTGTTTTTACAATGGTTCTCAGCCATTGAAAAGAGAGCTGCTTAATGAAAAAGCTCATTAAATTTCATCTATATACACTAAAATTTATAGTTATAACACCGAAGTTTTCTTTTTTTTGTCGTTCTCTATAATGTATCATTAACATACGTTGCATATATTGATGTAGAGAGGAAGAAACGAGTATAGAAAAACACGTTTCTTTTTTTTTGAGTATGTCGAACATAGTCAAGAATGTTGAATTACTTTATTTTGAGTGATCTTATACATTTCGACATTGAATGTATGAAAGAAGCTCTCGAAGTGTTCACAAATGTCTTCCTATATGACAGTAATGTCAGTAGACTCTCCTTTGCCGTAAATTGAAATAAGTGCAATAAAGAATTTCAAAATCAACACACTTCCATTTATTCATTCATTTATTATTCTATGATCAAATATCTCCGAGTCGTGTTTTTTATTGATCACGCACACGTAGCGCATTTCTTTCTCTTGCTTCTATTTTTTAGTTTGTGTTGTTTCAGTATTTTTCTCATCGATACTTTATACAAACAAGAATAATTGAACGTGTTCTCTCCGTCGATGATAGTCACGACAACGGTTATTGCAATTTAAATCACAGTAATATTTCAATGTTCTCTTTCTTTGCCTTCATTTCCTATGAGTGCATGCTATCCATACGTTTAATAATTAGGTAAGACATTTTTATTTCGCCGCTTAACTCAAACACATACATGCATTATTGGTGCATTTCTTTTTCATTGCTATCCGTTATATTTCTGTTACCCTAGTGAAGATCAAAGGCGGTTCGTTCGTTTTCTCTTTTTTACTTTTTCAAAGGATAAATGTATTCAATAAATATATGTAATAACTAGTGAAATTCATAACTTTGTTTTCTTAAGAAGAAAGTAAAGAAATGGAAAATTTTATTCTCACTTTTCTTTCCTTAAGTAAACAAATTGAATGCGTCATCTCTAAAGGAAACATATGTATTCTATTGTCTCCTTGTATGTTAGTAGATTGATATGTTGGAATATAGTTTTTTTTAGATGAGTATGTTTTTTATTATTAGATAAAATGGGTTCTAGTCCTTCACGAATACAACGATCATCTCATCTCGTCTCTACTTCTCGATCTAATCTTTCTCCAAGCAATTCATCGAGTCAACACCGTTCTAATACTGTTTGTCCTTATTGCTATCGACTCACGAGAGGAAACGAAAACGTCGATGATGCTTTTCAAATTACTTTACAAAAGTTATTTCCTGGAGCTTATGAACTCGAAGAGTTTGTTTTTCAAACAAAACAAACATTGGTTCCGAATGGTTTCTATCCACATGTGAACACGTTGGTATGTGTTGGTTTGTGTCGTGATGAAATCACAAGTCCTTTCGAAGAAAAAATTGAAGCTATGTGGGGTCGAGCATTTATTTGTGGTTCTCTTGGTGGTATGTTATTTTGCGGTAATACTGGTTTCGCTGCTGCACATCATCATGCTCCAGAGACTGGTCGTTTTATTTATTATTGTTTTACGCATATTGCTATTGATCATGAAGGATTAGTTGGTTCCGTTTACAGAACACGTAGTGGTATGAATGAAAAATCAACAGCATGTGGAGCACTTGCTGCATTTGCTGCTGAAATAGCTTCGAATACATTGAATCTTGATTTTGATGAGAACGATATTGAAATGAGCATGTTAAAAAGGCATATCATCAAGCAAACTGATCTATCAATCGATGCTAAAAATGCTCCAGATTTACTTCAAGTAACAATGGCTGCTTACGAAACAATTACAATCGATTTAGAACGTCATGTTCGGTATGATGCAGAACATTTTGAGGATCGACAATATGCTTTATTTACTGGCGTTCAAATACATGGACCTAATGGAATGGATTATTGCTGGGTGGGAAAAGCTAGTTTATTAAATAGAGGAATATTATCACCATTGGTTCTTCCACCTACGAATGATCCAATGTCAACGCTTGGAATCCACAACGAACAACATTAACGTAATGGAAGTGGTCTCAATTAAATTACATTTCTCATTACTTGACTATAAGCTTAAATGAGATCTTCTTTTAATTAGCACTCGTTCGATAATGTTTGTAATATTTTTCCAAGTTTTGTTTCAGATTATGAATAATATTATATCATTTACTAAAATAAATAAGCTGGTGAGGGTTAGTGAGTATGTGTGAGTGTTGTTATAAAATAATCAATATTCATACTCCACCCACACCCTGACTCTCTGTGAGAATTTGTAGACAATGTCTGCCACAAAATATTAGCTTCAATGACTCTTAAAAATAATCGAGTCTTGACTACAACTATCATCATTAATAAGTGTGATTGATAAATGAGATTAATTATTAACATTTTTTATCAAAATTAACATATCTTACAGTCTATGCCTTCACAATTTTTTGCGATGACATCTTTTGGCCTGAAGAGAGAATGCAACTTTTATCATTGACTTTCATGTCATTAACTATATAGATTTCTTAGTTTATATTAGAAAAAAAATATCATAACTTTGACGGTGGATATATATATATATATATATATATATATATTATAACTATGTTCTTGTGCTTAGTCAGACATATAAAACAGAAATGTATTTGTTAAAATAAGATAGATACACAAAAAGAGTGAAATGTGTTTTTTCTTTGTATAATTTATTTTATACTGTGTGTTAGACCATTTCTGGTTGTTATTCCTCTTTCTTTTTTAACGATTCTCGTGGGCCGACGAAGTATTTTTGTTTGAATAAAATTTAGAAATTGTCGACGAAATATTTTTGATGATATCGCACAATTAAAAAATGTCAACGCATAATCAAGATAAAGAGGAACATATGTCATGTTATTAATAAATGCTTCAATTGTAAGACGAGCTGGTGATTTGATAGTATTTATAGTAAATGAATGATAAACAAGATAACATGGATTTGGTATATTAAGAAATATAAAAAGAATAATTTGATTTACTAACATCTTTTGAAGTTGAATATCTTTCTTAGAAATTCGAACAGATTGATCAGTAGAATTCTGTATAGTTGGTACAATACGTTTACCACTTTGACGAACATTCTTAGCAGTTAATAAACCAAAAATAAGCATTAAAAATGTCGGAAGAATTCCACTGTCAATTGTAATATAGATACTAAAAAATATTCCATAAACTCCTGATTGAGGTTGACATATATTATTGTTGATTTCATAGACAACAATTACTTGAATATACATAAGACACCAAAATATTGCATTACAAATAATAACACGTAGTGCAATCTTTGATGAACTCCATTGACGACGAAGAGCATTTCGAGAACTTGAAAAATAACGATCAATTGATGCAATAATAATATTATAACGAGAATTAGCGATAAAAACATAGAATAGATAAAAACGCATTTTACAAAACCAAAGTTCAACGTTAATAATATTAACATTATAACCATATTGAAGCATTCGATAGAGTAAAGCAAAATTAAAAGCTAATAACTGTGAAAAACTTGAAGCAATGAAATATAGAGCACATGCACTCTTACGAAATACAGATTGAGAAAAAACAATACAAGTCAAAATGGATCCGATATTACCTATTAACCAAATAATACCTAGAGCATATTGGGAAATAGTCATATTTAGAAAATTAATGAGATTAATCAAATTAACTTCATTATTGTTAGAGAAAATATTAGTATCATTAATCATTGTATTGCTCATTTTTTAATAAAATCTATAAATAAAAAGATTATTAATTTCTATACGTGACTCGTCGTATATGAAAATGGATTGATAATTATTCTCATCTTTCCTACTATGTTAATACTTCCGCTCAATCATTCTTTCTTTTTTTTATCAATTTTACTATGTAACTAAATCGAACAAGTAATATAATCGAAAAAAAAATTTTTTTTTTCTTCATTGTCAATATAAGTTGATCTTACTTTGATTAAACTTTTTAAGGCCTGATTATAAATATAATATCAATTTCGAAATTGATTTTATTTTAAAATAGAATATTTAGTTGTGCTCTAACGCATAGAACAAAATGCACTGTCACTATAAAAATGTCTTTAAATTTTCTTATTATCTTAAAAGGGAAAAGTAAATGTTGATTATTGTTCAAAATTTATAAATATTATTCATAGATCTAAGAAATATAAGATGAAAAAAAGAAAAACAAACCTAGTTATAACTCATTCTTTTAATAAATGAAAGGAAAGATAAAAAAACGACATAAGAGGAAATAGAATAGACGACATCTTATTATTTTTAGACGAATGAATTCATGTCAGATGTTAGAGACAGTAATTAATAATAATAACATAAAAACTATATCATGTGATATCACACAAAAGAATTATATTAAAAAGTTATTTAATTAATATGCAAAACAAATCGATTATTTTCTTTTTAAGACGAACTGACGTTTGGTATAATTATTGAAGTCTTACAAATTGTAAGGAAACAGATTTTCAAAAGATACGAGATTACGATGACAATAAAAAATTGATTTTATTTTTTAAATAATAAAAACAATTATTAAATTATCTGATGAATATCACAATAAAAGTGAAACTGAAACATTGGAGGGTTGAATCGATGCATAAGCGTCGAGATTTCTTATTTAATTTTCCAGTAATGTCTTTTAGTAGGTAATTCAGCAAGTGGAACACATTAAAGAGAAATAATTCAAAATTCTATCTGAACTCCATGTAATTGTGAATGCTGGTAGGGTGTGATTGTGTGTGAGTTATTGTCGGTGTATATTAATCTTTTCTTTACCCACGTCCACCCAAAACCATATCACAACCATACCCTTAAGATGCATCGTATGAAAAGATAGAATAAGAAAACAAGCATCCGACATACAGTGTGAACCAAACAACTGCCATATTATTTGAATTATGAGAGTGCATATATGCAGGATTTTGAAGAGTAAAACCATGGATGTGGGTGTAAGTGTTCTCACTCTCCTCGTCGCATACCCACACCCACACCTCTCATCTACACTCGCATATTTCATTTTTTCTTCTACAAACATACGACTTCTTTTCATGCAAACAATGGATTTCTTTGTCATAAAGTGTTGCATACCATAAAAATCGTATTTCAGTATGAATATGGGTGCGTGTGAATGAGGATGTAAAAGCGTAACGAGCAAACACACTACCATCCACACCCACACTCACGTCCTAGTATAGGCGGCTGTGGGCGTCGATAAGAGTATGCATGAATAACAAGTTTGTACACGCCCATCAATACCCTCGAAATTTGCAGCACCTTCGCGAGCGACACAAATACAACACATTTTGTTTTAGTGTGTAAATATAAGCCACTCTCATATAATTTTTTTCTTCATGTAACTATTAAAAGAACGTATCGCAAAATCTTTTTGAATCGTTCGTTAAAAAAGACGCATGTCCTCTAATAACTACTCAGAACGAAATAGAAAAACTAACGTAAAAAGAAACATGTTCTCTTTCTTTCTTTCTTCTTATAAAAAAAAACAAATGCCAAGAAGTTAGAGAAATTTTATTTTTCTGTTTTTTACCATACTCGTACATTATGGCAGTTTCCTCGACAAAAGCTCTACCACTAGCCAATAATCTATCAAAATCTCGTTAAACGGATATTAAAGATGAGCCTGTTGGTAAACTCTTGATACCGATCAGCGGCTACCAAAATGAACCTTTGCTACCATTAGAAGAAGCTCTCTCCTCAGTATTGCACTTTTTCATCGATTTAGAACAGCATATCTGGATTGCAAAATATAATTGTCAAAATCCACAGGATGGTTTGACACAAGACGAAAGTTCAGCTATTCATCTGTATACAATGCAGTTTGAATCAGGTGATAGTTTATACATCGTTCTTAATCGCCTTCTTCGAGCCGAAAAACGTGATTGTCTCGTCCCCTGGTTCAAATTTCTGAAGTTATTTATCACGGCTTTATGCAAGTTAGATTCAATTCGTGCTACAGTTTGGCGAGGTGTACGAGGTGGTGATTTGAGTCTACAATATCCAACTGGTCGGCAATTTGCTTGGTAGGGAGTTAGTAGTTGTACAACTACACCTGATGTTATACAAACGACAAATTTTCTAGGCAAAAGTGGAACTCGAACGCTATTCTCAATCGAATGTATCAACGGAAAATCGATTAAGAAGCATTCGTATTTCAGTGAGTCAGAAAAAGAAATTGTGTTATTGCCAGGAACATTTTTTGAAGTAATTGGGCAAGTCAATCCTGCAGAAGGATTGCATATTATTCATTTGAAAGAGATCCAGCCTCCATTTCAATTATTGAAATTGCCGCTTATCCAGCAACCAGTGGCTACACAGACAAAGGGAAAACACGAGCTTTATAGTAAGTTGAAAGAAACAAAAAGAATATAGAAAATGTGGTTAAAGATACCTTATTGTTACAGAATAGAAATAAAGAAAAAATATATGTTAACTATTTTTTAGGCGAATTAAAATCAACAGAACCGTCTTCTACTTCAATTCCAGTAGAACGATCGATGGTAGAAGAGTCTTTTTTAAATTTAAATAAATTAAAAGATGTTCCAAGACTATGTATAGCAATTGAATCTGCTGATTTTCCTATGGCCGCGAATGATACTTGCTTTTTATACTGTCCACACAAACATGTAACACTTATCAATGCAGAAGGTCAAGAATTACTCACCGTGAAACGAAAGTTCGATGTACTCGATATTTGTTGGTCATCCTACCTGGAGCAGTTCCTCATGTTGTCCAGTAATAACAAACTTTATTCGTTGAACGTTCACACTGGTCGATTAGTAAAAGTAATGGAATTTACACGAAATAATATACGAAGTTGCACTTGCTACTCCGAGACGTTGATGGTGAGCAACTACGATCACAAGTCATTTGTCGATATATACGATCTGCACTCTGATTATAAATTGATTGAATCTTATGAACTACCAGTATTAGGTAGAAAAAACCAATATCTTGAATTAATTCGCTCGAATGGAACACATCTTGGTTTTATGCTCAATCAACATGATATAGAACGTAATTGGTTCGAACTACGCCGACCAGAGGATATGAGTGTTTTACACTCAGCTGATTTAGTATATAACGACTATGTGCACCGAGTAATGGCATTGCCAAATACTGAATTCTTAATTCATGCACATGATGGTAAGCAATTATTTGTGCTTAATAAGAATGGATCACTTAAACCGCCTATTAAACCATATGCAAATAAGAAAGGAATAGTGTCAACAGCATTTATCAAGGATGTAAAATGCTTTGTTATACAAACAAATGAACCTCGAGAATTACATTTCTATGATTTATGATTTATTTTCGACGCTTGAATGAAGAAGGTTTACGGTTGCGTAGTCTTCTTCCAGGAACTACAAGCTATCTTTGGAGTGAATGTGGATGTGAATGTATCTTATTTATCTCACCTATATCCATACTCTCACGTCTACATCCTATAAGCTGTTTTTAAAGTATAAATATAGACTCAATACTGAATGTTTACAGTTGAGACTACTTTGTTAGAAAAAAAAAGAAGAAGAAGTACTCCTCAAAGCGACAAGATTTTTGGAAGTAAATTCTGTGTCAAAATCAATCCAAAAACAAAGAAAATATAAGAAAAACACACTTTTTAATCTTTAATTGTGAAGATGTAGATGAATGATGTATATCATGTATCTAATTTAATATAGAAGAAACATTGAAATCTTTATTAGTTTTCAATAGAATGTATGTCATGTCTTTATGCATAAGGATATATATAATCGTTTGTGAATTCTTTTTTCATGTTTATCAGATAATGACTGTAATAAGAGCAGATAATGATGTTCTTTCAAGACATCACGACAATTACTCACCAACAACAAAGAATCGAAAATATTTAATAACAGTGATGTATTCATTCATTCACATTATTAAGTCAAATCATCATTGATTCCAAGCGATTCTTATAAAAAGACGAATTATAGTGATAAGTATCTGTTTTTTATACAAACAGAACATTAAAAAAATTCTCTCAATTTTAATATAGATAAAATTATTTGTCATTTTATTTTATCCTCTTTTTTTTTGTGAATAAATTATATGTATACAACAAACATGTCGTTTCATTCTTGACTTGTGTAAATATGGAATAAAATACATTTGTTTGTACGTTATCCTTTGTCGCATACATATAATAATTATACGAAAAAAAAATACGATTTTTAATAATAATTAAAGCAGAGTACGCAATTTGTTCATTTCAATATAACTTTCGATTCGAATAAAAAAACTCCTCAAGCCAAAATTTATATAATCCAATTCCCTATTTTCAAAGCCTTTTATTAAGTTTATAATAGAAATGTTTAATTATATCTGTCTAATTTATTGTACAGCTGCTTGCAAAATTTTCAACTTATTTGAACCTTTGATTTGCCAGCTAAGACAGCGTGTGCTACCACCCATGATGCAAATATTTTCCGCTGAAATTGGTACGACCGTTTTGTTGGTAAGTGATTGGAACAGACACAACATTTCAGTATCATGAGGATTGTTGAAGATTGGCATATAAATATAATCATCCGTAACAATAGAATTTACATAAACATTACGAGCGGATGTAAAACCTCTCCAAGTTTCATGTACATAATAATTAGGTACTTCGATAACTTCTACGTTAGGGAACGAATTTTTCAATTCGTTTATAACTTCCGAACGTATTGGCTCAGTCTCTGTCATAAATAAAATCCGATCATCAGTCGCCCACATTACCATACCATCGGCGTGACCTGTAGTATCATCCGGCAATTCTTTAATAATAGCGACCTCATTAACGCCTAATGATTGTATAAGACTTGCTTTGACACTTTCTTTTGTAAAAGATGGATTATCTCGAAGGATACGATCAGTTACAATAGCCCTTATGCCAGAAGGATTATCAACGACATTGCCACCGTCAAGAATAATACTAGATGTTTTATCATATTGAAGTTGGTTTTGAGAAATCCAATTTTTAAATCTATTTTCAATTTCTCTAGCATCTGAATGTTTGTGATACCCAGGTGCGAATTTAAATTTAATTTGTCTGGCAGGAATAACTGAAGAAAAATCACGAATCCAAATATCTTCCATCTTTGCTTTGATTAAAATATTAGAAGGTACTTTCCCTTCGAAGTATGGTATAGTAGCAGCATCAACTAAGATGACCACTTGATCTTTTCCATTAATTATATTGGCGAAATTTACCATGTAATCTATGATTTCAATAAATTTCGATGAATAATATTTATCATTTATAGATGGTGCAGATAAAACAATGAGAGTTGTTTCACTATTGTTCTCAATGGACATATTAACAGAAGAATGGTAAAGAAGGTAATAAAATAATCTAAAACTTCATAATTAAAATAAGGAAAGTTGAAAATCCAAATAAATATAGGTGAAACAAAAAGATGGAACTATCGTCTAACTATTTTCTTTATTCTATTCATATAAGATAAATTATTTTAGCTTACGAAAAGACTTAATTTATTTTGTCAAAGTTTAATAAACATCTCATGATTCTAAGTATGCTCGAGGAGCTTTTTTAATATTCGATAATACATAACAATCTCATTGTTAAGATAAAATATTCATCGTTCTATCAGAATCTTTGCGAACGAACGCCATCTGGCGTTTAAATAATGCGTACTACTTTTCTTTATTCAATTGGATACCATTTATTTCAATGATAAGGTCTTAATAACAAATATTGTCATATGAAAGATCGTTTATATGAATTATTCCTAAACTATGCTCATCTTACTTCTTCAATAATATCTGTAGTAATTTTCAATATTTCGAATAAATACTGTCAGTGACACATATCAACAAAATAATATCCATATACTTTACATTACAGATGCAAAACATAGTAGTATTACTTACCTAGGACATGTTATTTATGTCGTTCTGTCAGTTGTACGAGGCGAGCGCAAAAGAAAAATCTTTTTTTTGTTTTATTCTTTGCCTTCGCTTAGTGTACATCACGAGTGACTGTTATTTCATTTGAATTTTTTTTCTTCAACATATTAATCTCAAAAGAGATTGTTATTTATTACATTTCGTAAGTCTATGTTTATTCTCTTCATCTCTTTCGAAACAAGTTTTAACAATTAGATTAAAATATATTTTTGTTTTATTTTTTATCGTTTAGTCGATGTCTACTTTCTCTACATAATTGAAATTGTTATTGCTATTGTGATTATTTTTTATATTCATTTTCTATTCTTCTCATTCATTACCCACACCCACATCCTCATTATTTAAAAAGATTCATTTTAAAATTCACGTTTGTATTTCTGATCATTTTTCGAATATCTCTTTCACACAATCAATTTAGAATCATAGTATAATGTTTTTTGTTTATTATGGACGATTATGGTTCAGGATGACGTACGCTAAGATTCCATCGTCGATTTGGATATGAGTTCTTGTGGCCACCCGGTACCCATGCTCTAGGATGGTGAACTGCTCCCGATGATGACGATTTTTTTTTCAATTTATTTAATGTTGTTCGTTGTTGAGTTGTTTGAGGTCGTTGATGAGCCGAATTTGAATTTTGATAATAAGGATATTCTGGAATTTGTAAATATTGATATTGTCGATTGTCGGAAGAAGACGATGGACATAATGGACATGCTCTATTTGGATAAGCTTCTGTGGCAACATAATGAGTTGGATATCCTTGTTGTCGCCGTATTTCTCTAACATCATTTCTAAGTTCACTTAATTCACGACGAATCGCTCCGGTTTCTGCTTGTAAAGTACCATTTTCATAATGATATGTTGTTACTGCTGGATACGGATTACGATATGATGCTATAGTCGTACTCGGACGGTTGCAAACGTACGATCGTAATGGTTCAGCTATATCAATTTGAAATCTCTCTGGTTGATGCATACGATTGTCTGTGAAAATAGAAAAAAAACTGAAATAATATTCACAAACGGTACCTTTACTTACTTAAAAAATGTTGAAAATGATTGTACTGAGTAAGAAATGTTGATGTTTGTCACTGAATGGTAGTTTAACAACGATGAAAAAATCTTCTCATTCTTTTAACAACAACAATCTGAAGTTTGATTTTTTTTTATTTTGTAACGTTACCGAGAAAAAAATCTAAAAGCAATTTTAATTCAATATTGATTTTGTCTTCTCATTCTCTTTCTAGTAATGTGATGCATTAAATCAGCACATGTATTTTACAACGTCAACAACAACTAAGAAGATATAAATGTTGATAGTTGACAGAGAAGAAATATGAAAAAGGTGATAAATTATTACAATGATTTATCGTTTCTTTCATAAGGAAAAGCGTTTTATGTAAAAAAAAAATACTGCGCTAGTCAAGGCAGACTTAATCGAATGCATAACTTTATCTTAAAAAATTCTCAACTGTTTACTATACTATGTGTATTCGTAGTGTCATTGTATTTTTGAATAGAAGTCACGTATATCAATCCGTACAACGGCAAACAATATGCCCTGCATCACAACAAGCACGTGCATCTAGTCCTCCTATTCGATAATCTGCTTGTGTGTGCGGTGTTGAGGCAATATCATTTAATTTTTCATGTAATGCTTGATCAATTGCATCGTATACTGATTGTGAAACTATGATCGGAGTTGATTCAGCTAAATCACGACTAAGATCAAAAATAAGTGGCGGTTTATGATGCATGATCATGCCTTCTTTACCACCACACGCACCATCAATCGCAGGATATGTCGTATAATAAGCTTTATATTGATTGTAACGAACTGCTGAAAGATGACCTAACATATCTGGATGAAATAGATATTCATGGCCTTGATTAGAACCATCAAAAAGCACTGGACTAAGATCAGTTCCATCAAAACTACGATTTAATGGTAAAGTAAAACCAGCAAGATTAGCGATAGTTGGCATCAAGTCCAAATGTGACCCAATAGCATTAGAGATGGTACCTCCTTTAATCATACCTGGCCAATGTGCAATAAATGGAATACGATGTCCTGCCTCCCATGTTGTGAACTTTGCTGTACCTCCACCTCCTCCACCGCCAGAAGAGAATGGCAACTGTTGCCAAATACCAGTGAACGGTCCTTGATTTCCTGCTAAATCACATTTTGAAGACCAGGGTCCATTATCACTAGTGAATATCAGCAATGTTTGATTTAAAATACCTAAATTTTGTAACAGTTGATAGGTTTGATTGACATGATAATCTAATTCTCGTAATGTATCACCATAAATATTTGGTACGCCATAAATACTTGGTAAAATACTTGTATTTTTAAATTGCTGTGCATAATCATGTGGCACATGCATGTGTGATAAAGGTAAATATAGAAAAAATGGTTTGTTTGCTTCTATACTTCGTCGAATAAATCGTCGATCATTATCAATATAAGATTGTGTCAAAGTTGAAAGATTGACTGGCTGTTCAATAATTTCTTTATTACAATTATTATCAGGACAATGAGGTGTAAGACATTGATAGAGTGGAATACCAACTGTTAAATCAGCTTCAATAACATTTTTTACATCATCAGCATGTTCATGTTTTTGTTCAAAGAAGAGTGGTGGATCTTTAGGACAAGCTTTGACAGGTGGATAATTAAATCCAGGATTATCTGTACAACCCATGTCAATACTATATGGAATACCAACGTATTCATCGAATCCTCTATATGAAGGATGAAAAGGAGGCTGATGTCCGAGATGCCATTTACCATGTATTGCAGTTGCATAACCAACTGTTTTTAAAAGTTCCGAAATGATCGTTTCATTAGTAGGTAATCCTCCAAGAGCAGTTGATGCAAAATTTTGCCATACACCAGTACGTGGAGTTAATCGTCCGGTTAATAGAGCTGCTCGACTAACACTACAAACTGATGCTCCACTATGATAATCTGGTAAACGCATACTTATCGAAGCTAAATAATCAAGAAATGGAGTATCACGTGTATTAGGCCAATTTGCACCCACGTCACCCCAACCCATATCATCGGCCATTATCAATACAATATTGGGACGAGAGTCGGCTAAACGTTCCGATAGAGGGATAGTACAAGAAGCAAAACATAGTAAAATAAGCTTAAAATTTAATAATGTAATAAAGAAAATCATGGCCATCATCATATTTAAGTTAAAGAATATGATAAATGATAAAAGAGGGTCGTACAAAAAGCGCACATCAGCACATTTCTTTTATTTTCTTATCATCTTCTCCTTCTGAAGTTGAATAAATAAAAGATCGTAAAATAAAAATAACACAGAGAGAAAGCACATTGCAGCAGTAGGTAAAGATTTTTTTTCTCGAAGGTTTGGGTATGGATGTGCGATGAAGAAAGGACACCCACACTCACACCCAAGATAAAAACTGTTGTAAATTACATTCGTTTGTTAAAAAAAGGTTAAAAAATATTTAGTAAATCAAATTACAGTCAAACATATTATAGTAGAATTTTTTCATTTGAAAATTATGGATTTGTCTGACTGATAGTTGTGAATATGAGATAGACACGATACTCACATTCTTACTTGACTTATTTATTTACAAAACTTCTTTAGAGTTACGATTTAATAGAATAACTGAAACTATCTTGAGTGAGTTGTTGCTATAATTTAAAATTAAATCAGATATAAAAATTTTATTATGGAAATAAAAAAAGATAATGAAGAATAAACAAATATCAATAAATTCAATGAAATTCAGATCATGATAATAATGATATCATTGATTTTCATAATATTGATAGATTTTTAATCTGAATTTGCAACGTATCATACTGAAAAAAGAATGAATCTTATCTACAATTTTCCATGAAGAAATGAATGAAACGTTATATATTTATATCAACGATCTCTATTAATTATTATATATGCGATAAGTATCTATTTATTTAAAATCATATTGTTTAAATGATATGAATTATAGAGTATGTATATGTATGAGTGACAAGAAGATAAAGAGATACCCTCATATTTACATCAGAAATTTTAGTCATTATTCAACTAATCGCAAGAATGACTCATTAGGTAGAAAACATATGGAAAAAATATCCAAAAAAAAACTGAATCGTGTTAAATACACCATATTTGTAACAATAAATATTCTATTCTTTCTCAATGTATTTTATGCAGCATTTGACAACATTCCCTGACTTTCTCTTTTTTTGCTTTTCTAAAAAATCATGGTAAATATTATTTCAAACAAATGACTTCTGTATTTTATTCAACAGAGTTTTTACATTAATATCAACTAACTCTCTCGCATCTGCCAATATTCTGTTCAAAGCTGACTTTGAAAAAAAGGAAATAAGATTAATATTTGTATTGATATAGGATGTTTTTTTGTTGTTCTAAATGCTATAAAATATTCTAAACTGATTATTTTAGAGAAGACTTGTTTTTAAACAACTCATGCAAAGTAATTTCTATTTAATTGATACGAAGCAGAAAAATATACTTCATTTTCACATAATTTTTAATTATCTCACATATGAATACATCAAACCATTATTTTTGCTTTGTTTTATTTTGATTTAAATTGATTAGTTAATGAAGCATATTAAATCTCATAAAAAGAAACTGGATGAGATAATTTATGTTTCTATAATTATATCAATATTGATAAATGATGTTTAAAGAGAAGAAGTTTTTTTGTCGATTTTAGATTGTAAAATATTCAAGTTCGTCGGTAGAACAACAACTATGAACATGAATAACAGAATTGGACCTGATGAAGTAATGTATTAAATAAAAAGGAAATAATCTTTTTTTCTTTTAAAATATTTTAGTCGGCAGTAGTTAATCCTAACACGGCACGATCACAAACATTGTATGTATATATTATAAGTTCCAATAAATTATTAAAATTATTTCTTATTTTAGATTTGAACATTTTCGAAAACGAAAATTCATTTGGGCAATATTTTTCATTATTTTTATTGTTGCAAGTATAGTTATTCCAACAATTATTGTTACAGAAAACAAAACAAAGAGGGAAGGAACATCAACAATGGAAAAAATAACAGCAACAGCAGCAGCAGAGATAACAACAGCAATGACAACAGAAATAGCAACAGCAGTGACAACAGGAGTAGTAACAGAGATAACAACATTAACAATAGCAGCAACAACAACAACAACAACGACAAGTGGTATGATTTTGTTAAAACTAGTTCGTTGCTTATATGAGATAAATTTATCAGGGATCAATTAGTTTTTCTTTATTCAATCTTAGATATTTTATTCAAATAAGGACATAAAATAGTTTTATCTTCCATTAATCGATATTAACACATCAAATTTCTATAGAATAATATTGAAAGGCTTACTAAAAGGTCGATGAGAATGTAGTATCGAATTCAAAGTTCATCTATCTAAACCCGTACCTACATTCTCGTATTTTATATGCAGTAGCAATGAAATATTATGCTGAATAAAACAAAATAGATTTTATTTTGAAGAAAGAAGTTTTCGATCGAAAAGAAAGAAAACAAACTAAAATGTTTTTTAATGTTTTGTAGAACAATTAACTCCTTCAATTATCATTAGTAGCAAGACGAAATGGAAACAGAATGCAGTTACTGTTGCTGGAGGAAATGGACCGGGAAATCAATTAAATCAATTAAATCAGCCTCGTGGTATTCATGTTGATGATGATAGTATTTATATTGCTGACACTGACAACCATCGTGTTGTTAGATGGGAATTTAGTGCAGACAAGGGCGAAATAGTTGCAGGTGGAACTGGACCTGGACATGAACTATATCAACTGAATTTTCCATTAGATGTAGTTCTTGATAAAGAGAAGAAATATATCATCATCTGTGATCATCGCAACGTGCGAGTAGTACAATGGTCTCTTCAAAATAGTCAGAACCAACAAGAATTAATAAAAATCGTTTGTTCGGGTTTAGCAATGGATAATAATGGAGATCTTTATATTTCTGACTGGAGCGAACATAAAGTTATACGTTGGCAACAAGGCGATAAACAAGGTACAATTGTGGCAGGTGGGCATGGAAAAGGAAATCAACTTAATCAACTCAATCAACCTAATTATATCTTCGTCGATGAACATCATTCAGTTTATGTAGCGGATGGTACAAATAATCGTGTGGTGAAATGGATGAAAAATGCGACTGGAGGCACTCTTATTGCTCCATGGGCAAATTCCAATTCAATGTATGGACCCATTAGCGTGATTGTTAATCATATAGGTAATGTATATGTGTCGACTCAGAAAAGTCATCGAATAAAACGTTGGTCACGAGGTGCACTGGACGGTCCTACTATCGTTGGTGAAAACGAAGGTGGAAGTGGACCCACACAGCTTGGCTATCCATCTGATTTATCATTTGATCGACATGGTAATCTTTATGTTGTCGATTATCGAAACAGCCGAATACAAAAATTTGTTATTGATCTTGACTGAAGCATGTCTTTGATAATAAAATGACTTTTGATAAATAATTCTTTTTTGTCACTTTTAAAGTATTTTTCATTAACAAAGAATAAAGTTCATTAAAAGTACAAATAATATAGTTTATCATTGATCTTGTAGACACGGCTATTTCAGATTCTTTTTTTGATGTTCATAATTTTTTACCTATTGACATAACAGAATGTTCTAATAAAAAGCCTACAAATATACGATTTATATTTCAACATAGTAAAAATTAGCAAAGTTATAGAGTTGACAGTTTGTGATAATATAGACTTAATCTTTGATTCTTTGTATTAGCATCTCAATCTTCAAGAGGTCATTATACGAAATAACTTAAATATCCATATTCATATCTTCATTCACATCTATTTTCAAAATCTTTAAGGTCACACATATGCTTTATTTGTACAGAAAGTACATCACAACTTCGATCAACAAAATTTTAAATTTTAAATTTTTCATGTTATTCATTTAATTTTTATTGAAAATATTATATTTGTAACAAGCATAATTAGATCTGTTATATAATATATAAATTATTGAAATAAATGACGAAAAAATATCTCTGTCATACAAACTATTCTTCTTAAAATGCGCATGAAATAGACAGGGTTGCCATCTGTTCGGGTGTACAATGTAGTACAAAATTTTTTAAATGAGCTACATGTTATAGGTACACTATTGTTTCCTATGTGGGGAGGGGGGATTGTCGATAATGTACGCATTTTTTTCTGGATAACATGCACTCCCAACGAGAAATCAGTTTCAAAAAGTATTTTTGGCTTAAAAGAATTATTTCCGATCTTTTTATGTGTGCATATTTCGAAATTTTAATCTAACCTTTGTTGAATTTGTAGAATGTTTTTGATTTTGATGCAGAATATAATGACTTTTTTTCGACATCGAAAGACAATTTGTAAATAGAACTTGACGTTTCTTTTGGTATTATTATTTTTTGAATTCGAGTGTTGTAGGATGATTCTCTTCTTCAATGACTTCAATATCTAGTTCAGTAGAACTATCGTTGATTATTTGATGTCTAACTAAAATCTACAATACTTCTTTGATATTTTGTAATAAGTATGTAAGGCATTCTTTTAAGATGAAAACTATAATAAATTAGAAAGAAGATTTAATTTCGATCGTGTGATTAAAATAGTAAAAAAAAAGGAAATCAAATGCTATGAATAACGATATCGTGTATTGGTCTTAAGTAAACCAGTATAGTTGACTCTTCGTGTATCGATACAAATGAAGATATCGACTGCAGTCAATTAATTTATGGATTTTTACTAAATATGATTTTAATGTTCTTCAAAGCAAAATAGTTCAAATGTGATACAAATTCTGCACCGCTGAGATACAAATCGTTTCAATGGGGTACTGTGCCTCCAAGTAGGGTACATATGGTAAGCCTGAAAATAGACGACACACACCCACCCTCAATATATCATAAACTAAACCAATTTCACCTTAACTTTCATTCAAATCCAAATGACTATCAGGAAATATTTTACGTTGAAAAATAAGTGCTTTTTCATTAATTAATCATAGACTAAACATAATTTTCTTCTCAATAAAAAATTAATTCTCTATAAAAATAAATAAGTGCTATATCACGATTATCCTGTTCATACGATAACATCTCAAAAAGTTTATTTAAAAAACCATGTGTAAGTCTATATTGACTCATTTGTGTTAATAATCGATGTAAATATAAAATCAACATTTCTTTCATTAGCTTCAATTTTAACTGAATCAATATATGGTTGTACAACATTAGTTTCTTCATCCATTGTTATAAGATAAATATTTAATTTTGTTAATAGTTTGATTGTATTATATATCAAGACTTTAAAAAATTGTTGTAATATCAAATAAAACTTCATCTTCTTGTGGAAAGTGACTTATCGATGGCTACATGAGATAAATCAAATGTTGTCTGAATCAGAGACCGGCGAGACGGGACGGGATAAAACTTTATACGAAATTGTCCCGCGATCAATACTCATTGAATTTATATACTGCAGTGACTTATTTACAAGAAAAACGCTAAATATTGTTAGTAACGGTACCTTTTAAAGAACATTTGAATGATCGTATCCGCTATTTCTTATCTCGAATATATGATCGCTTTTATCCTCATCATCCTCATGAAACCCATACTACGTATATATTCGTAATTGTTCTACAGAAAGAAAGAACGTAAGTCTTTCTTTGCTTTAATCACAATGAACTTGTACTAAGTGAAACAAATAATATTCGAGAACTATGCTGTATATTCGCTTTGTCTACAGCTCCTATATAAGGTCAAGTTGTAACTGAACGTCGAACTAACTTTTCTCCATCTCAAGTAGATAATATTTTATTTATTCGATCAATATTATTAAATGGTTATTTTTCTATGAACTAAACTTTTTTCAAATTAATATTTTTTAATTATTTAATACATTTATTTAAAAATAAATAGTCAAAGAAAATTAATAAGGAAATACTACGCAAATCTTTATCGTATATAAAATAAATTGATAAAAAGTTTTGATAAGAGACGGCGGGACGAACGGGACGGGACGCTGAAATTATTTTTGCGCGGGAGACGGGACGGGACGGGACGGGACAGAAGAGTCCTTGTCCCGCCGGTCTCTGGTCTGAATAATAAAAATAACTTCTTTTTTTTCGACTTGATGATAAAAATCCATGTAAGGGAAATTAGTTAACCTTTTTTACTACACATGTATCTATTTTATTTTTTGACATTCAAATATAAAGTGCATGAAAATCTTGCGAACGTAAAGTTTTATTAATTAATTTTGAGACAAATGTTGGGGCTGTTAACCAATCGGTAACATTTTCTTTTTTATATGTTATACTAAATTCTTCTATATTATTTTTATAATAATCTCGACATTAATCTAACATTTCATTCATAGTATGATGAACTTTTTGTCGAATACTAGTGATTAATTTAAGCTACAAAAAGAAAGTATCCGATTTGGATATATCACGTATTGAATATTGCTTATTTTTATTGAATTTATTAACTGTTATTCCATATTGATCAATTGATTCTAGATAGATTTGTAAATGAATAATTAATTCGTTATAAATATTCAAAACTTGTTGAATTTTATTATATTTTTGCATAAACTCATATTTAGTTTTTTTTTAAACAAAAAATAATAATCGATTTGATCAATATTGCGGATTAATGGAATAACAATAGTACCATATGAATTTGATGTTATAAAATAGATTAATTTATTTGTAGTTTCAATGAAATTATATAATTAATACATTCCTGTGAGAATGTAAACGTTATTAAATTATCTTTATTCATAAGTTTCATCATTATTATGATTATAGTCGAATAATTACGTGTTTTATCTAGCCATATTATAGTTACGTAATTCTAACATATTTCGTGTGACAGAAAACAAAGAATAAATCTTTGCACTTATATTTTATGAACACGATCTTGAGGGTGTGTGATGGATATAGAGCCCACGCACTACACTCGCCTATACTCTGCATAGTATTCACACGAAAATGAGTAAAGGTAATTATATAATACTTTTGTGGCATTTTCTAACAAAGCAAAAAAAAATGACTGATGACTAACTACACTTCTGTGCTTTATAATTCATACTTTCTAAAGGTAAAGAAATAAATTAACATGTATTTCTTACCAACAATAATAAATTGCTGGTAAGGTAGAAGAGAAATGAAAAAATTATAGTTTAATGTGCGAGTAGAGCTGATAGACAGATCGATTGATTTTTGCTAAAAATAAGCTTTTCTAAATAAAGGAAGGGTGTGAGTGCTGGTATAGATGGATAACTAAGACCTATATACCCACGCTCTTAGTCGTGTGTTTTCTTAGAAATCTATTCTTTGAATCAAAGCCTACCTCGCAGTTTCAATTTGAACAGCCTATTCTGCTTCAAATTTTTGTTATTATTGTTCAAAAATGCCAAAATTTGAAAAGTAATTCAAACTTTTGTCTCTGCATGTCATTTCAACTGATCTCGAACTCATACGGGTGACTACTACTTCAATAGTAGTTCAATTTCGGCATTTGTACCAATCCTATCTCCATAATGATTCTAAACAATTTGAGCACATCGACTATTCGTACAAGCCATAAGACGAATAATTTCGCCTGTGATAGAATGTTGATAGCAATCGATTGTATTATTCTCTGATATAGAAGTTACTTCTTTGACGAGTGCATGCTCCTCTAAGAATTTTTCACTCAATCCTCAATATACATGATTTCAGTCGCTCGAATCCATCTCATTATTATTAGATTCACCGACGAAATTTTCACATTCAAAGAAGTCAGCTAACGCTATCTTCTTTATCGATTTTTTCAAACAACATGGCAATTATTTCAGAATTTCCGTCGTTTAAATACATAAAAGAATGGAGAGATAAGAATATGAAAGAAAAAACTAAAGATTTTCTTCATATAACTCACCTTACACTACCTATCAACATGCAACAGAACAAGAAAATAATTTTAGTCATTACTTCGTTGATTGCAAAAATGATTCATTATGTAGAAATGCAAAGAAGAGAACGATAAATAATCAACAGAAGATTATGATGACGTCATTAAATGTACTTTTTTTTCTATAAGTTAAGTGTTCATGAAAATGAACATCTGGAAAAGTTTTCCAAAAAAACTGAATCCTGTTAAATACAACATATTTGTAACAATAAATATTCTATTCTTTCTCAATGTATTTTATGCAGCATTTGACAACATTCCCTGACTTTCTCTTTTTTTGCTTTTCTAAAAAATCATAATAAATATTATTTCAAACAAATGACTTCTGTATTTTATTCAACAGAGATTTTACATTAAGAAAAATTAACAACTTACATCTGCTAATATTTTATTGAAAACTAACTTTGAAAAAAAAGGAAATAAGATTAATATTCCTATTGATATATAATTTTTTTTCTGTTCGAAATGCTACAATATTCTGCACTGGCTATTTGAGATAAAACTTGTTTTTATTTAACTGATGCAAAATAGTTTCTATTTACCTGACGAGAAGTAAGGAATGTAATATATTATGTTGAAGTTAAAATTAGTCGTCTCGAATAAGAATGAATCAAAACTTGTTTTTAATATTGTTTTTTATTTTGATTTAAATTGATGAATTAATAAAATATGAAATCTCATAAATAATAAAAATAAATATTCAATGAGAGATAGTTTATCTTTTTCTATAATTATATCAATATTCATCAACAATGTGGGAAGACAAAAGAGTTTTTTTTGTCAATTTTAGATTGTAAAAATATTCAAGCTCGGATAAAACAACAACTGTAAACATGAATAACAGAATTGGACCTGACGAAGTAATGTATTAAACAAAAAGGAAATAATCTTTTTTCTTTTAAAATATTTTAGTCGGTAGTAGTTAATCCTAATACGGCACGATTACAAACATTGTATGTATATGTTATGATTACATTAAATTATCAAGAAAAAATGTATTACTTTAGATGTGAAAATTTTCGAAAAAGAAAATCAGTTCGGATAATAATTTCGATTGGTTTTATTATTGTAATTATAGCTATGCCAATTGTTTATGTGAACGAAACAAAAAGAGAAAAAACATCAACAATGGAGATAACAAAAACAACAACAACAACTACAGAGCTAATAGCAACAAAGACAACAACAACTACTACCATCACCACCAACACTACCACCACCACTGCAACAACAACAACAACAACAACAATAAGTGGTATGATTTTGTTAAAACTGATTAGTTTCTTATTGGAAATAATTTATAAAAGAGAAACTGGTTTTAAAAGTAGTTTTTCTTTATGCATTCTTAAATATTTTATTCGAATAATGACATAAAATAGTTTTATCTTCCAATAATCGATATTCACACATCATACTTCTATAGAATAATATTGAAAGGTTCATTAAAAGGTGACTAAGAGTATAATAACGAACTCACGATTCATCTATCTACACACACATACATTCTCGTAGTTTATATGCACTGATATCGAAACATTCTGTTCAATAAAACAAAATATATTTTAGCTTTAAAAAAGAATTTTTAGATCAGAAGAAAGCAAAACAAATTGAAATACTTTTTTTAAATGCTTTATAGAGCAATTAATTCCTTCTGTTATCATTAATAACAATACGCAATGGAAACAATATGCATCTACTATTGCTGGAGGAAATGGACTGGGAAATAAATTAAATCAATTAGATCTGCCTCGTGGTATTTATGTCGACAATGATGATGATAGTATTTATATTGCTGACACTGACAACCATCGTGTTGTTAGGTGGGAATTCGGTGCAAAGAATGGTACAGTTGTTGCAGGTGGAAATGGACGTGGATATGCAATAGATCAATTGTATCATCCAGTAGATGTAATTCTTGATAAAGAGAAGAAATATATCATCATTTGTGATCAATATAACTCACGAGTGATACAATGGTCACGGCAAAATAGTCAGATTCCGCAAGTATTAATAGATGGTATCGCTTGCTGGGGTTTAGCAATGGATAATAATGGAGATCTTTATATTTCTGACTCGGGAAGACATCAAGTCATACGTTGGCAACAAGGAGATAAACAAGGTACAATTGTGGCAGGTGGGCATGGACAAGGAAATCGTTTGAATCAACTCAATCATCCTGTGTATATCTTTGTTGATGGAGATCATCATATTTACGTAGCGGATGGTGCAAATAATCGTGTGGTGAAATGGATGAAAAATGCAACTGAAGGCACTCTTAGTACTCCAGGAAAAGTTTCTCAAGAAAATCCCAGTTCAATCTTTCAACTCATAGGTGTGATTGTTGATCATAAGGGTAATATTTATGTGTCGAATGCGGGAAGTCGTCAAATAAAACGTTGGTTGCCGGGTGCAATAGAAGGTGCACCTGTCCTTGGAGAAAATCAATTTGGAAGCGGACCCACGCAGCTCATCTTTCCTCACGATTTATCATTTGATCGCAAAGGTAATCTTTATGTAGTCGATGCAGGCAACCATCGAATACAAAAATTTGTTATTGATCTTGACTGAAACAAGTTTTTGATAATAAAATGACTTTGATAAATAATTCTTTTTAGTCACTTTTAAAGTATTTTTCATTAGCAATAAATAAAACTGATTAAAAATATAAATAATCTAATTTATTACTCATCTAGTAGACCACAGTCTTTTCAGATTCCTTTTTTAATGTCTATACATTTTTTTACCAATCGATACAACATAATGTTCTAATAAAAAGCTTTCAATACGATTTATATTTCTATGCAGTAGACATTAGTGAGACTATCGAGCTGAGAATGTATGATAATGTGGACTTGGTCGTTAAATATTCTGCATGAACATGTTCATTCGCATCTATTTTCAAAATCTTCAAGGTGACAAACTAGCTTTATCTCTATAAAAAGTGTATTACGATTTCGATCAGCAAAATCCTAATTTCTTCATGTTATTCATGTAATTTCTATCAAAAATATTTTATTTGTAATGAATATAAATGGATCTCTTATGTAATATATATAAACTATTGAAATAAAAAAGGATAAAATATTTCTGTCGTAAATACTATTCTTCTAAGGGAGCATTTCAAAATTTTTGCCGTCCGTTCGGCCGCTATGCCGCTCAGCTGGTCTGCCGCTTTGCCGCAGCCGTGCCGCGATGCCGCTCTGCCGCGGCAAAAGGACCTAAAACCATTGTTTATGCCGCGGCAGAGCGGCATTGCGGTACGACTGTGGTAAAGCGGCAGAACGGCTGAGCGGCATTGCGGTACGACTGTGGTAAAGCGGCAGAACGGCTGAGCGGCAGAACGGCAGACCGGCTGAACGGCATAGCGGCCGAACGGACGGCAAAAATTTTGAAATGCTCCCTAAGGATGTAGGTAAAATAAGTATAATGTTCATGAAGAAACCTAGTTTTACCCACATCCACATCCTTTATCTGACACTTAAGACATGTACAAGTCTCAACTAGCTTGGCTTCCATCGAAAAATTCAAAGGTTTTGAACAAGAATTTACCGAGGAATGAGGTTGAAAAATAACTACATATTGTAATAACTTCCTATAGAAAAGAACTTATACATTAAGGGCTTCATATATTCATAGCTGCGTGAATATAGATACAACTTGTATCGATCTTTCTCCCTATAATCATCCATACATTCCTGTACTCACATGTATGCGTGCACTGATACATGTATCAATATATATACTGATAAAAGAGTACACGTAGATGTATGTCTGTTTAGATCTATATGCATAAAATATTGATATAAGTTGTATCTATATTCATGCACACCTCTAAGTCTCAGATCAAAATTCTAAAATACGATTTTCCCAGAACGTGAAATTTCTAACAGGCAGAAATCTCTGGAAAATAGACATACAAAAAATCAAATGTAGAATTTTATTAAGATACTATATACTATCTATAAGCAAAAAATCATTGAAATAAGAAGATTAGGCGTTCAATAGTTCTGTCATCATTTAGAAAAAATACCAAGAATGTTTCCTCTTTTTATGATTTCAATAAAACAAACAACAAAAAATATCGTGCAAATGGCAGAGCTAAGAACAATATTTTGTAAAGAAAACTTTTCTTGCATTTTTTTATCTGGTTTCTTCTATCTGTTTCTATTTCTTAGTATTTTGAAAAAAAAGGTTTCAAAACTGTCAAAAATGTCTAATGATGGTAGCCATAGTAATAATTGATACAAAACTGTAGGGACGCAATCACTTTGCCGACAAAAATTTGAGGCTGTGGGTGAGTGTTCTATTTCAGATATTCCTACACTCACACCCTCAAGAAAATTTCAGTTCTATCGGAAACTTTTTTCACGGGACACTATATTTCAAAAAGTGCTCATACTTCACCAATGGTATGAGAAAATTCTTTTTTTTCTAAAAACTTATTATCTCGTGAAAGAAGTTTCCGATTGAACTGAAATTTTCAGGAGATGCTATCTATATTTGGTATTATTCATGGATAAGAATTCAGGTCAAACTGCGATCACTCGATTTTCATCCTTATATCAAGATATGGGCTAAAACTTCAATAAATTAACTATAACTCGAAGAGAAAGCGCTATCCTTTTAGGCTTTTACTAGGCATAGTAGTATCTACTTATGCACAAAATATCAGCTTAAAAACGATGTTCAAGTTGGTGAATTTTTCTTGTTAGTTATGTTGATTACAAATAAAATATTTAAAAAAAATTACATGAATAACATGAAAAAATTAAGATTTTCCTGATTGATATTGTAACATACTTCTTATATAGATAAAGCTAATGTGTGATGTTGGAGATTTTGAAAATAGATATAAATGAACATGTTCATACAAAATATCTAACGACTAAGTCTACATTATCACATGTTCTCATCTCGATAGTTTCACTAATTTCTACTGCGTAGAAATATAAATTATATATTAGGATGCTTTTTATTGAAACATTGTGTTGTAGCGATTGCCAAAAAATGTATAGGCATTTGAAAAGTAATCTGAAAAGAATGTGTGTACAAGCTGAACGATAAATTAGATTATTTATATTTATATTTTTCAAAGAAATTTATTTATTATTATTAATGAAAATACATTAAAAATAGCAAAGAATGATTATTTATCAAAAGTCATATTATTATGAAAAACTGGTTTCAGTCAAGATCAATAAGAAATTTTTGTATTCGGCTGTTTCGATAATCGACAACATAAAGATTACCATGTCGATCAAATGATAAATCGAATGGGTATGCGAGCTGTGTAGGTCCACTTCCGATATTCTCTTGACCAACGACAGGAGCACCTTCTGTTGAGCCTACTGACCAACGCATTATTTCATGGAATCTGTCATCCGACACATAGATATTACCCATATGGTCAGCAATCACACTTATGGGGAAAAGGTATGAATAAAAATTTTCATCAGAGAATGGTCCGCGAGCAGCACGAATGCCTTCAGTTGCATTTTCTATCCATTTCATTACACGACGATTACTAGAATCCACTACGTAAACTGAATGATATTCATCGACAAAGATATACGTAGGATTGTTGAGCTGTTTAAATTGACTTCCTACCCCATTTGCACCTGCTACAACTATACTTTTCGCAGCTTCTTGTTGCCAACGTATAACTTTCTGTTCGTTCCAGTCAGAAATATAAAGATCTCCATTATTATCCATTGCTAAACCATGACAAGAGATACGATCTATTAATACTAGTTGATCCTGACTATTTTGAAGAGACCATCGTATCACTCGTTGGTTGTTTTTATCACAAATGATGATATATTTGTTCTCTTTATCAAGAACTACATCCACTGGATAATTCAACTGATGCATTCCATTTCCTCTTTCGTTTCCACCTGCAACTATTTCACCTTTGTCGGCGCTCAATTCCCATCTAACAACACGATGGTTCCCAGTGTCAGCAATATAAATACTATCATCATCAACATGAATACCCAAAGGCTCATTTAATTGATTTAATTCATTTCCGTGTCCATTTCCTCCAGCAACAGTAACTGCATTCTGTTTCCATTTCGTCTTGCTACTAATGATAATAGAAGGTGGTAGTTGTTCTACAAAACATTAAAAAAATATGTTATTGCTACTGCATATAAATCACGGGAATGTACGTGTGGGTACAGATGTATGAACTATGGAATCGATAGTACATTCTCATTTACCTTTTAGACTTATTTTATAGAAGTATGATGTTTGATTACCAATTATCGAAGATTAAACTATTTCATGTCATTGTTCAAATAAAATATCTAACGATGACACATATTTAAGTGTTTAAACCCATTAGACTTTATCTTTTGGTGATACGTAGACCTTAATGACATATGAAAAACTTTAAAAGGATCTGAGTTCTTGAGCCTTTATCATTAAGATATTCATAAAGAGAGAGCGCGATACGATAAATAATGATTTCTTGAAAAACAGTAGACTATTGAAGTATCAAAACTTTACTTACTCATGTGTAATCCTTGCGCAATTTGTTTTGAGTTATCGTGAGGTGATTGTTTAATTTCAGTGGTTTTTGAACCATAAGAAATAGCATGAATAAAGTTACAACAAGTTACTTTTTTTTCGAAGTCATTTGACATGAACTGAAACTGATTCTATGTTTTAATCCGAGATTTCGAGTATATGGTTGCACTATTCAATAGTTTCTCAACTGTTCGTTTTGGAAGAAAGAATGAAGTTGGAAAGAGTGAAATTTATTTGTTGCTTAGAACATATCAAGCTCATGTCGTCTGTTTTCTGTCTTCTATATCGTAGCCATATCAATCAAAAGACCAGAGAGTTTTGCTGGATTTGACTGATTTAATCAAAACTCGATGGAATATCAATTTTGAAACAGGCCATATACAAATCATTTCTCTCAGTGATAAGACTATACCTTTGCTTGTGGTTTTCATCGTCTCTAAAATGACTGTTTTTGTTGTTGATGGTTCAGTCGTTGTTTCAATGGTGGATCTTTCCGGTATTGATGTATTGTTATGGTTTGTTTTCTGCGCAGTAAAGACAATTAATAATGCAGTCATGCTTAAAACAACAACAAGAATAGAAAAGATGATCCATATTAATTTTCTTTTGCGAAAATTTTCAGGTCTAGAAAAAAAGATCCTTTTTATCATTTACTGCAATTATCAAATACATACAGTGCCGATGGTTGCGTTGACTCAGCACTAACTACAGATGCATCCTGAAAAAAAACAAGAAAAGAAGATTATGACGTGATGCTTTTCTTGATCTAAATAGGTTACATTGTAAACATTCACTTTGTTGCTCTCCATATAGTTGAAATTGAATCCAAATTTTGAATATCTACAACAAATAAATCTTCTCCTTTAGAAATTTGCATTGAATAGGAATCTTACTGGCAAAACGGTAATCTGTTTATTTGAATATTCTTTCAATATCAATTCTCTTACTGTTAATCTTTATGTCGACTGACGTCTGTCTTTTCTCAGCGTTAAATCCAGCCAATTAAAACAAAACAACATTAAAAAATTATATTTGTTATTATTGAGAATGTGAAAATACTAGAAAGTCATATTTTCTTAAATAATGTGTTTGGTGCAAAGTATTTACAACAGAAAAAAAAATATATATTGATAAAAATTATTAACGCGCTTCCTTTGTTAAGACTGACTTTGTGAAAAATATTGTCAGATGTGAGTTGTTATTATCTATGAATATTATTTTTTTTCAGTCGGATGTTGATTACTTAATCAAATATCTAAATCAGCGCTTTTCAAAGGAAATAAAATGCATTCTAGAAGAAAATCTGTTAGGATAAAACGTTTTATTGTGCATGATTTATTCTGAAAAGTTAACAATTATTAGAATGTTTATTAACTGAAATTCTTTGTGTTTAAATCTTGATTCCAAATAATTGTTCATGTTAAACAAATTATCTACAATGAGAATACAGCCCTTTTATGACTATTAGGATTGAGATTTATTACATCATCTCAATATAACCATGATGGTTATTTCAGAGATATGTGGAGTGTATTAATCATTACTAAAAATAATTGAAATAAAAAATTCATATTTACGAACTAACTAATAGATTTAAAAAACAAGAGATTTTCTTAGCAATGGTGATATCTACAACTAATCTCTATGAATAAGCAGTTGTTTTGAACAGATCTTTTTAATTAGTCTAAATAAAATTCGACTTGAACTAGAATGAATGAAAACAATATTTTTCTTGATCTAACTACAAAAAGTTTAATTAAAAAAACATTATCTTGAGATATTAAAACTTCTATGAGATATGATTATTAGAATTAGGTGCACTTAATTAAAAATCAGTAACTATTGTGTAAACGATACTGAAGATCAATCACTTATTTTTATTGATTTACATATGATTTATGAGAACTAAATGATTTAAACTGAGCTGTTTTCTCTTGAAATTCGTATCGCAGATACAAGCTGTACTTTTGCTCTCATTCATTTTTTCTGAAGATCAAGAGTCGATAAATTCTGCAAGATCCTACTATTTCATATATTCTAATCGTCTAAATCTATTGTTAATGTGTTCTCCTACTAGAATAATCTTTCGGCAATAATTTGATGACTAACAACATAGTCACAGCACAACTCCATACATTTCTAAATACATTTAATATAGTTAAAACGTTTCACTCCCATAGATTTTTTTCTTTCAGGAAATCCCGGATATCCTTCAAAAACTACTGATTTTCAACATTTTTTTTTGCAAAAATCATGTTTCTTATATTGGCTGGAGCCTTGTGCCTGCGCGTTCTATCTCGTAGAACTTGTTGATAATTACAGTAGATAAACCATGTAAAAACAATATTCTGAAAAATTTGATTTTAATCGATTTTTTTATGATGAAAAATCGAGTATTAATCATAAAATAATCAATTAAAATTGATTGTGTTTATAAAATGGATTTAAACCAATTCAGCATGCACAAAATAGATTTTAATCCAACTTGTCGATATTCTGTGTCCTGCGAATACATCTAAATGGGTATTCTATATCGAAGTGTGACATGTGTGCTAGAGGTTGGTCTCATGTTACACTAACTATATGTTATTGCGAGGAGTCTAAAAAGCTAATAAAAAATTGTAGTTTATCCTTTTAAATTCGAAAAATACGCGTTTTATCTTGGTTAAAATTAAAATAGATTATAAATAAATAATAAATTTTAATCGGCTAGATTATTAAGATGTTATTAGTAGTTATCATCAAAGAATTTATTTTTATTAATTTCTTGTGAAAAATTCTTTTTAATGGATTAAAGCTTGAATCAGTTAAACCGGTTAGATTTTTAATCAATTATTCTAAATTAGTTTTAGAAAAAAAGATTTTAATGAGTTATTTTAGAGATTGATTATTATTGAGTGGACTTTTAATCAAATATACAAATTATCAAACGAAAAGATAAATTTTGATTGACTGCGCTAACTAAAATTTATTAAAATCGATTTTCAATTTAAAAATCTTTTGAAATTTGTTATTTTGTGTGGTTTAGTCGATTTAATTCTCAATCCTGTAAGGATAAGTTGGGAACACGGAAATTCGGCTGTTTATCCGATGTTTGATTAGTCAATTTTTTGAACCAATCAGATTTCATCATCATAACATCAATCAATCCTTATAACTTGAGAGTGGATGCAGTCAGTGGAAGTGGGTGAAGTAGGGTTAGGGTGGGTAAAATAGCTTAAGAGTGGGTGGAATGAGTGGAAGTGGGTAAAATTGGATACGGTTGTATCAGATAAACTAGAAGTGGATGAACATGGGTGAAATAGGATAGCAGTGTGTGAAAACCATCTTGAGGGTGTGGGTGTTTCTCTCAGTTATCAGGCACACTCACACCCAGCCACCCACATCTACACCCGCATTCGAACTGGACCTGCTGGTCGTCCGTACCGGTTACAACTCTGCGGCATTTCATTGATTTTTTCTGATTCTCGCAGAAAAATCAAGTTGAATCATAGTTCTGATCGTTTTTTTATATGGAAATAGCTTACATATTCAGAATTTTTTAAGACTTGACGTAAAACGAAGATTATCAATTTAAGTGTGGGTGTGGATGTGGTGTATCCAAGCTTGTTCTGCTCTTATTCTACTCACACCCACCCACCCACCCACCCTCAAGATATGAAGCATGCACATGCGAAAAATTTCTATTCACTTAGAAATATAGTTCAAGTTTTGATACGTTCGCATACATTTTACAGCAGCTTTCAGAAGATCAGTATGCTGTTTTTATCTTTTCCACTATATGTTCTCGAAAATAAATGCATCGAAAGTATCGTATGCTAAATTATCATTGCTCAAGATACATTCTGACTACAACAAGAGCATCGCTTTGTTCTCGGAAAAAATGTGTATATTCATTTATTTCTCACAAGCAGCATATTTTAAAAGCTGATAGACTCTAGATTATAACAGATGATTATAACATTTATATCTACACTCTTCTTTCACAATAGATTTTGATTGCAAAGAGTCATTCACATGTGTTCAAAAAAACCTCATGATAGGTTGGTTGATCCATCCATAAGATTACATCGTCATAACCATCGCCATCAAAATCACCGACATCTAACCATCGAAATGCGGCAGGATTTCTTATTGAAAATAATGTTTGTGCTTCGAAATTTCCGTTTCCATCTCCAACATACAAAATTATTTCGTTGCTACGCTTACCGAAACCGATATCGAGATGGCCATCTCTGTTGAAGTCTCTAATAAAGATCTTCTCTAATATCGAAGCGCCCCACATGTGAAACAGTACACCATCACTCATACGTCCATTACCGTGTCCGTACATCACCTTCATTAAATTGTTGCCATTGTAGGCGACCACAATATCTAGTACACCATCACTATTTAAATCGCCAACAGCGAAGTCTTGTGGATCATAACCAGCGCCAGTAAAAGATGTCTTTTGATCTTCAAAACTCCCATTACTATTACCAAGAAATATACCAATAGTTCGACTATATTTATTAACGACAGCGATATCTTGATGACCATCATGGTTAAAATCAGCGACGGCGATATCGCTTGGATAACTATTAATTCCAGTCTCATATATTCTTCCATCTAAAAAAGTTCCGAAACGATTTGCAAAAAGTACGCTAATCTGATTTTTAGTAGGAACAGCAACAGCGATATCTAAGTAGTGATCATTATTGAAATGACCTACAGCAATTCCCGATAAAGTACTGCCATATCCTGCCAAAACTGATTGGTATTTTATTAAAATTCCGTCGCCATTCCCGAGGAAAATATCAACATAATTATCGAATCGTTTCATACCAGCCAGATCGAGTCGATTGTCATTATTGAAATCACCAATGCTCATTTTATCCAAGAGACCCGTGTAAACTTCTGGAGATATTATCTCTTTTCCGAAAGTCCCATTGCCATTCCCAAATAGCACATGAACATTCCGTCCATTTTTATTAACTAAAGCAAGATCCAGTCGGCCATCATCATTAAAATCACCAATGGCGTGTGAGTATGCATCAGGCAGATCAGAACTTCTATTTACTGAGATCCGTTGAAAATTCAGTGAACAAGTTGGTTCTAATGAGAAGAGAGAAACTATATAGGTGCACATTTTTAAGTTAGAAATATTTATCCGCGGAAAAATATTGAAAAACGTTAGTATCTCAGTCATGTAAGTTTTTAGTGATGAGTATTGATTCATCCTTAGAATCAACATACTAGTTTTTTCTGTCTAATTTATATTAGTTATAAATAGTAAATCGTTCGTTATTACAAGTTAAAACTAGATATGAATTGAGAAAATGTTAATTTTTATTTATTTATTAATGCAAAAATACTTATATGACAAAATGTAACACTATTTTAATCGGATTTGATGGATTTATTGGTGATAAAGAATAAGACGGTGTTTTAAAAAAAATCGAAATAGACATAATCTTAGTTTACTCACTGTATTTAGTTGTAGTTGTCATTGTCATACTTGCTGTAGAATCAGTACGAGTATTGGTTTTTGTATTTGCTGACGTGTCTCCAATTATAGTTGTAGTTATTGAAGAAGCTATTTAAAACATAAATTATTTTATATTTAAGCGTAATTTCATTCATAGGTTTCTAGAAAAATAGTTCGATGAAAATAAAATCAATTCGTTTTTTTTCTAATAATGTGATCAAATACAAGAGAGGGGGGGGGGCGTACGAACTAATTTCTTCTAGAGAAAATATGAAAATCAGTAGGAACCTCGAAAATCATCAATAAGAAACAGAAATCATTTTTTATCATATTTATGATGTAGGTTGATTTTCGTATGAGAATTCATTTTAAAATTATTGGAAATCATGAGAAATAAAGAAATCAGCTGATCCTTTGGAACTATCAGACAGGATGCTATAAAAAGTACATACTTGTTGATGTAACTTGATTTTCCTCTTGTCGAGCAATGTGAATAGACAATATGACAAGACCTTCTACTATAACTAGTACCAGCATACATATCAAGAAAGTCTTGAAAGAACACAAGTTGGGGTTGGTTCTAGTAATGAAATAGTACAGATGTTATTATAAAGTAAATTAAAAAAAAACATACTGTAGTGTTACATTGCTGGAAATCACTTCTGAATTTGACGTCGATCCGTAAGCATTTGTGTTGACATTTTCAGTGGATATGGTTGTAATAGCACGAATAGTATTCGCACGCTTCTTTCGATATTGATAGATTGCATTGATTATTCGAACTAATTTCGGACAAATCCATGCCAGAGCTATGGTCAGACCACCTTGGATACTCAGTAGATCAGTGATTGAATTAAAGATATTGTATCGTGGGGTGTATGTATATGAACATAGTAAGGGTAAACATTGATCAAAATATGATGAATAATCAACTGTTATGTTCCATTCTTCAATGAACAGATCATTGACAATTTTTTCAATACGAGTGTTCTTTGGAAATCGAATACTCGCTCTCGAAAGAGGATGGAGAAACGATGTCGAATTAATTTGACTCATGTTCATACTTGTATATTGTCGTAAGATATTGAGACATGATTGGTTATAGAAACATTCCAAAGTCGAAGCAAGAAATGATTCACTCGGTGTACAACCCATTTTCAAACCTTCAATTGCAATGATTGTTGAAGCATTTTTCTCAAAAAACTTTGCTGAAGTGGTACAATTGGAATATAATCCACAAGAACAACCGTTTTCGTCAATCAATGCTGTGGTCTGTAAATATTTTGTCTGGAGAATATGCGGAGGAACATCATATTTAAAGTTCGTTCCATAGGTTGACATGAAAGCATTTCCATGATTGATACTTCGAATCAAGAAGAGAAGAGAAATGAAGGTCTTATAAGCATCTGCTTTACTCGTTTCAGTCATTAAATTGAGACGTTCCCTGAGTTTTTTCTCGGATAAAAGTTCCGCAGCAACAAATAGCGAAGAATGAAAGTCTTCAATGGAAATCTTTGTTGTATTCATAGAAAGTTGGCATAAACCAGTAAGAAATTGTAAATGAGCAGAAAGAAAACGACGATAATCATTTAATGAATAAGCAGAAAGATCAGAAAAAAGATCAGATGTTAGAGCAATTCGACCTTCATCGGAAGCGAATGGACTTGAACAGATCTATAATTAAAGAAAAAGAGTAGAATTGATCAGTGCTTCATAGGGATCCTCTTTGAAGTCTCTTTCTAGAAGAAGAATGTTTTACATTAATTGTTCCTTCGTGAAAACATCTTCCTTTCATATATGTAACACTTCTTTCCTGCAGAGTCCTTATCGGACAATCCACATTTTGTCATCAACTAGATAAGAATGAGCTTAGTGTAACTTGGCGAGTATTTATGTCCTACATTTTATTTAACTAAATCAATGAAATAAAAATCTTCTTTCTTCCTCTGTGATATAGCTCAATAAGTACTTATGATAGAGATGACAATAAGCTAGTTCTTACATTTTTTATTTTTGCAAATAAGACGTTTACAATCTGTATATTAGTATCCTTTAGACATCTTTTGTCAGGGATACACATGTACCAGTTAACTAGATCTCAATCTCAAACTAACACTGGTGCATTCCTAAAAAGAAACAATGCACTAACCAATAATACTCGATCTAAATCTATAGTTGATCATGGTTCTCTCGAAGTAACTTTCGTTTTTCAATCGAGATATTCATTTTTTTCAAAAATGTCATTTTAATTTGATCTCCTATTATTTGATATAGACTAGTATATTTTCTACTTACGTCATGAAATACTGCTTCTAATTTGACAAATCGACCGTTGATCGATACGATGGATGAACATGAACATTTTAATTGATTTCCATAGCGCTGAAAAAGTCGTTCATATAAATCCAAAGAAGGCTTATCGAAAATGTCCGTCTGTGTTTTAGGCTGCATGCTGAAATAAAGTGTGAGACCAATCATACTAATCAGAAACAAAACTATATATAAAAGAGTAGCCCATTGACCAAGACGTTTAGCAGTTATTCGATCCACTTTGCTGCCAAAATCTCGTACCAAGAATATATTTAAATTTGCCAAGTTGTCATATAATAGTGTTACAATTTTTTGCATGATTGCTCGTAATCGGCTCCATCGTGAACGAACTATGTATACAAAGTGAAAGGTTACATTTATATATGAATTTCTAACTGAGACTTTCTATTGACACTCAAAGAAAAAAGAAAGCTACGATAGACATCATTAAACTGGAGAATGGATATATAGGAATATATACAAGCATCTGTTAGAATTGAGTATGGTCTAAGAAATTCATTAGAAACTGTCATCATCAAACAGAAATTTACACATATCTGATCAACAATTACCGTATGGTTGTTCCTCTTGTTCTTGTTGCTGTTGTCTTTTGCAGATCTTTGCCAACAAGTAAAATATAAGCTTGACCAATTGAGGTGTAAGCAAACGTAGTAAAAGAATAAGACCACTGATCATAGAGATCAATTTGATCATCACTTCCACAATAGTTCGACGAATTCTCTTTGCATAAGTACAATAGCTTGGCGCACATGATTTGTAAAATTGATTATATGAAGAAGATGAATTCCATCGTTCGATCATAATTGCTTCGATTATTGTTGAAATTGAAGTATTTGGAGGAAAAGAACTTGTTTTTGAATTATAAATAAGAGGATGAATATCAAACCATGATCCGTATTCATTATGGAAAAGATATGTTTTTTTACTATAATTCTGTAAAATTGACAAACAATCTGAGTTCGAATAGTAACACTCGAGTGTTGAGAACATCAGAGAATCCGTAGGTGAACAACGTTCAACCCAGCCTGGTACTGTATAGCGATGGATATGCTCTGGATGTAACGACCAACTATAATCAGTCTCATAAATACCAATTGAACTGTTACAATTAATATCTGTAGCACAAATACAGCTGAAAGATGATGGATTTACATGACGAAGACCAATTAATCGAAATGCTACCTAGAAACAAATCACGTATATACTCGAACTTGAAAGTTTCCATTTCGAGGATTTAGTTTGTAAATGAAGATTTTTCTTTAATTAAACCTTTAGAAGTAAAGAAATGCAAAACTATAACTGATTTATTTAAATTACTGACTGCTATTTTTCTGTCAAGGAACATCTTTATCAATGCTGCAATAGAATATACTTTCCTAATGAATGACAAACTTTGATAGATCATTGATTCAATAGAAATATTCTCGTCATAGAAGTGCCCATATAGAAAAATTTTACTATATTTTTATATTTTGAAGGTAAGTAGTTGCTCAGATGCATACTTTGTTCTTTGTTGAATTCTGTAAATATACTCTAAAACTTATTATATCAAACAACTTAACTCTACTAATATTATATAATGTTCTTAATGATAAGAGCATGAACATTTCAAAATCTTGATGAAGAAATACCTTTAATCCGAACACATAATGCGATTTATTATATTCGAATGTTGCACTGAGTTTATCTTCTTGAGGATAGTGTTGATTACTTGCAGTTGATCCAAAATACGACTGATCAACTTGTGTAAGAATTCGTACTGTTTTGATAAGAATACTAAAATAAATCATTGTCGATCGAAAAAACTGATCAAGAGTAGTGTTTAATTGTTTGTTAAAGTCATTTTCATTCATTACACTTGAAGCAATGAATGGTTGCGAACGAAAATCGTGAACAGCATCATTGATCGTTGTATCAGCCAACTTACAAAGATCGGCTAAGAATTGAAATCGTGAAGAAGCTGTGTTACGCCAATCTGGAGCATTATATCCTGTTGCGATTTTTTTTAATAATGAAATCCATTGATCTGTAACAAAATCGCTTGAACACACTTTATGAAAGATTGGAGACAATGAAAGAAATCTTTCATAAGGTATTGTCATGTCAGAACATGGACAGCGAAGTGTTGTGTTATACAGATCCTGCAAATTATTATAAGTGACTAATGATGGATTTGATTCGGTTACAGTAGCTACTTCAGCGCTCCATTCGTTGATAATAAGAAACAGAGATGCACCTAGTGATACACAAGAAAAACATATCAAACCGATAGACATATATCTTTAAAAAGAAGATTTTTATGAAAGACTATATATACATATTTATTAAATATGCACTATGTTGTTTGAGAAGAACTAATGTAACTAATATTTTAGAGATTCATTTTTTTTTTTGTAATTTTTCAGCGCACTTGTGCTCAAAAACACACTATCATCCACACTGTGTATTTATCGAAAAATCGTCCAGAACAAGTCCTAAATGTTTCCGCACATATGAACAAATCCTACTGAATTCCGAGAAAATAAGCTCTCACAGCTACGAAGAAAACATAAACATACCAGATAATAGGATAAGATAGAGACGCGTGCTGATCTTCTGTTGTTTGACATCTTTTTCTGTTCGTCGATCGGCTGCTTTAAATAAGTTTAATTGTCTTATCCATCGACCAATTTTACGCATACGAGTCATCAAAAAAACTAAAAATCATTTATAATTTACATATAGATTATGATTATATTCAATAGATGGAATAGATACCGTCATTAACAGTGGTGTTTCTTGAATAATATTTTAATTTAAAGTAAATACCGACTAGCAATGGTGCAATCAGTCGAAATATGATAATAAGACCGGCATACAGACTGATGAATAGAGTAATTGCATGAGAAGCAATAGTTTGATCTGCTGTCGTGTATGTACAAAAGGCTGGAGAACAATGTTTAAAATATTTGAGATAATTTGTTTCTGTCGACCATTCTTCAAGAAAAAGATTCAATAAATGATCACTTACAGAACGATATTCACGCTTTAATGATATGATAGATACAGTCGAGTTAACCTGTATGTGGACAAGAAACTGTATAAGAAAGATAAGAGAGCATCATACATACTAGAGCAATAGCTGGAAAATAGTGTTTTAGTAATTCAACACATTCAATACTATACAAACAATCGAGTGTACTTTGGAGGAGAGCTTCAAGAGGAGTACATGCAGCAAAGAATCCGTTTGCTAAATTGGCATAGGTACCAGGTTGATACAATGCCATATCGGAGTAATTTAGTACAATAGGCAGTGGAAACAATGAAACTGCAGCAGTTGGAGTTTTAGTGCTACATCCAATAAATTCTGATCCTGAAAAGTTAGCACTTGAATTCTTAATAAATACTTCTGTACGTAAAAGTTTGTAACCATCAGAACTATTGCGAGCTTCAATCAAGAAATTTGTATTTAAAGCTGAAACTAAGTAGTTAGCTCGAATTGTAGCTCTGACATAATTAATAAATGCAATAATTCGAGTGGAAACACCGTTCTTGAAAAACTGAACGGTATCGTTTACTTTAGAATGAATTCGAAAATCAGGAAGGAGATCACTGGTGACAAGCTCATTATTGCTTAGATCATTCTTATTTTGAAAAACGATCTTCTCCGACAATGAACAAAGATCAGCCAAAAGTTGAAACTAGATAAAACAAAAAAAAGTCAATTCAAATAATCATCATTGATTATGCTGTTCAAGACTAATTCCATATGTATAGAAGAATCATGTATGTTCAGAATTTTTGGACGAAATCTCTTTTGAAAATTAGTCTAGGTGGCAACCTTATCTGGGCAAAGTTTCAGATCAAAATTTCAAAATAGAGTTCGATCAGAAAACTAGGATTTGATAGGAAAGACTGACTGGAAATTCTTTATCTCATCAGAAACAAACTGATGACATAAATACCTTTAGAATTATTATCTAGACTATAAGCTCAAATATAGAATATTAGTTGATCAGGTTTTTTCTAAAGAGTATGGAGTTACGAACATATAGAATTCAGAAATAGAATGTTAAGAATACTTAAAACATCATTACAGCATACCTACGTCATCCTTCCAACTACAATAATAAGTATAAGATTAGAAATCACCCGATTTCTTTCTTACAGGTTGAAAGTTAAATTATTTTTCTACTTCCCAAAAATAATACATCTTTAAAGAGAATTATTTTTGGTAGATATCGAAATTTCTTGACGAACAAACAATGATATACCTGGGAATACGCTGTCGATCGAAAATCTCCTGTTCCATATTCACTTGGATTTTTCAAATACAAAGCTTCAATCCATTTCTGAGTAATGAAAATACTTGAACAAACAGGATGAAATTTAATTGAACTATCCACAAAAGTCTTATAAGTTATTGCTACATTCGAGCATGGACATGACAAAGTTTCACCATGTTCAAGATAGAGTTCATTGAAAACGGTAAGAGTAATATTGGATATTGTAATTGTTCGAGTTTGGTGTTTTATCACAGTTGCATAAAAAAGAATATACGTAGTTCCTGGAAAGAAATATAAAAAGAAAGATATTATTATAAAATCCTTCTTCTTCGAGTATTTTCGTATTTAGAATTTATGCATTTATTTAATCATTCATTCTAAAACAAACTGTTCGAATATTATTAATGTTTGATCGTTTTAACAATTGAATATTTTTTAGTCTTATATACTGGTTATTATCTTCTAATCAGCCAGAGATATAGACAAGTATAATTCTAAAAAAGCTCAACAATAATTTCAAATGAAAAATTGCCTTTCATTTCTTCTTCAGAACCGATTCGATCATCATGTAGTATGCAATCAGAATGCTTAGAATAAGAGAAAACAAAGATAATGAAGATGCTATTCTAGTCAAGCATTTTGCCTGAATGTATGCCATTATTTACCTTTCGTATATGTGTAGCATCTCTGGTGGATTTACAGTATTAAAAAGAAACCTTTGCATCCTACTTACCTAGTAGAAGCAAAATATAGAACCAAGTCGTATATTTTTGTTGCTTGAGAGCAATTGCTGGATCATTTTCTTCGATATTCGCATTATCATCATCATTATCATTATCATCATATTCATTTTCTTCCTTCATAAAAAGATTGTAATGAACTATTTCCTCTTTAATCCAGAATAGCAGTGCTTTAAGTTTCATCATTTTGACAAATAAATGAAATTAAATTATTGATTTTTTGCAATCTGAGAAATATTTTTGAATAAATTATTCCAGAAGTAAAAAGAATCTGTCAACGACAACATTAATAAATTGATGGGAAAGACGACAAATTATTTTTTTATTCTGAGCCTCCCCATATCAAAAACCAATCTCAAACGAGGTAGATTGAAATCGCATCAAAGGTTTAGAATATGCTGTAACTGTAGTGGAGAAAGTATGGTAAAATCTTCAGCTTTATACCATGATGTGTGAGAGATATATTCTACCAAGCAAAAGTAAAAAATAGTTCATTTGATCCTCGTTCTATAGATTACTTTTATTCGAAAGAGCACGTGAAAATACAGAGTCTATGAGGCCCCTTTTTCTGCATTCTTACTTTTGAAGCGGAAAAAGAGGTGATAAACTCAACAGCTCGAAAAACTCTCAAAAAATGCCACTCTAATTATACAAATGCTGTTCAATATAATAATACCAAAATTTCATTGAAAAAAACTCGAACCACATAGACGTTGTAATTTTTCACGTTCTTTCGAAAAAAAACAAAAATATTTGGTTTTATCTGATACTGTGATAGAATACCGCTGCAGATACGGAGAGTCATCGCACATAAAAGCATGTGTAGTCAAATTTCTACATGTTTCAGAAAGGAAGAGGGATGGACCTGATGTTTTTAATGCTGCGAGGGTGGTTCATCCCCAGTATGTCCATGAAGTTTCAGCTCAATTCGACGTAATAGGATGAAGATCTTGCTTGAAGAAGATAGCGGTATAAAATATCTTATTCTAAGTCGAGCGAGACCTTAATGGCATACCGCGCAACAGTAGAGTGTCGAGAGCCCTACAGAAGCTTTGAATTTCGACAGATATCGTGCATATCTCTAAGACAGACAACATGATTAGACTTGAAAACTCTGTAAAAAGTGCCCAAATTCTTTTGAAGTAATATAACAAACTATTTGCGCACGTTCACTACTCAACTAAAATATTCAAGTGCAACTGTATGATTTATCTGCTGATTCTTACTGGAGGAAAGAGAATTGTACAATAGAAATCTGCATGGTAAACTAGTATGAATTTGTCATATGTATCTCATTAAAAAACTTGATTTCAGGCGAAATCGTCACATTATATAAAAGAATGCAACATCGTCTAACTTTCTCTCCTTAACAATGTATGTAAAATGCAACAAAATATTTTTTTTCCTATTTTCAGGAAACTTTGCACTTCCTTAGAAAAACGCTGATTTATTATATTTTTTCGGCGAAAGTCACGTATAATGTTTGTCATGGAAATAATTTGCTTTTGTATTTTATCGCAAAGACTAAAGCATTCCTCTTATATTCGATGTCAATAATAGATAATACATCACATCTGCCATCATTCTTTTCAAAGCTAAACTATGAAAATAAAGCGACTTCCTAGCTTTTATTTTTTTTTCTATTGTATATTTGTTGCAAATGTTCAAAAAATGATTTCTCAATGCAACAATGACGTAGATGAATAGAAATGTTGCTCCGTTAAACATTATTAACTTTCATACAGACGTGTAAGTCGTCGGCTCTAGCAAAAACGTCGGCTGCCAGTCATCGGCTTCAGCAAAAATCGGCTGACGGCTTACACGTCTACTCTCGTGTTTGAACAGTTTCAAAATTATTTCTTTCTACATTTAAAAGAAAACAATTTGTTTTTTGATCAACCTTCATCAGACAAAAGGAAAAGAAGATATAAATCTCTGTGCGATTTGAAAAAATGCGAATGCGCGAAATTGAGATCATCATGAGGGTGTCGGTGGATAGGTAAATTCCACTTTCGTGAAGGTGTGGGCTTGGACATGAGAGTAAATAGAAATAGTAGACACCCATACCCACACCCACACCCCATCGTTTTATTATTATTAAGAACTGTATAACAAACATTTACTATTATTATTATTATTATTTGTAGACAAATTTAATTTAAAAATTTTAACCAAATCGATGGGTGAGTCTCTTTTTTATCCACACCCTATTCCCTTCATTGTTTTACTAGTTCTCACTGAAAAGGATCCACTGTACCATAAAAATAGCAACAAAACACTTTTTTGAAAATTTTGTTAGTTTTCTGTGAACTTGTCTCATAAAAAATTTATTTAAGAAGATAGTTTGAGAACACATTTTTTATGCATAAGCATGTGTACCCGAGTGTCCTCTACTGAATAACACAACGTTGAATATAGTTGATCAAATAAAAATTTTCTCAAGTATGGATATAAAAAATTACATGGCAACTTTGAAAATGATTAACCCTTTAAGTACCATGACGCCGCCGCTGAATGAATTCTTGTTATGAAGTGATATTTAGGATAGTCGTGACTTAGGATTAATATTCCTGTTGAAAACATTTAGAAATATTCCGTACGAGATACGTTAGAGAGATTTATTTACTAACATACAAAAAATGTGCAAAAAAAATTCACACAAAACAGTTTTGCTAGTTTATAAAATATTTTTATGGTAATCATAAAAGCAATTTCTGTTCGTATTCATACAAAACGCTCTTTTACAATGAGAACAGTGATAGATAGACCTATGTTCACGTTTATTTGTGCTACAGAAAGCGCATCTGCTTCGATTACTAATAATTGGAAGATGTTGATGTGAGTTGTTCTGTTTGTTGAATGATATCTTTCTTCCTGTTGATCTATTTTTCTTTTTACTTGAGTTTTTGGAAAATATTGTGCGCTGGTGTGTTGTTCCTTCTTCAATCAATACTTTAGTAATCGATAGAGCCCTGCAGGTTGAGCTAACCTGCCCTGCCCTGCCCTGCCCTGGCCGGGCAGGGCAGGGCAGGGCCAGGTTATGAAAATTTTTACAGGGCAGGTTGCAGGGTACGAATGTCATAACCTGTCAACCTGTGAAAAATTTTGCACACTAAATACTACTGACATCTTTTGTAAAATTATACAAAAAGAAAAAGAATAAAAGTAAACTGAAATCATTTAGATTGATCCGCATAGATATCCAATAGAAATGTAAATATCACTAATCCAATTTTTTCTTTATGTACATATAGATACTAAGATCTATATTAAATTTTCTAAATTTTAATATTATCTTTTTTTCTAGTATCATCATTAACAACATCAACTACTCGTTTATGAACCATTATTAAGATTATGAATTTTAATCTTTAAATATTATCATTAACATTGTATTAATCTTTTTATGATCGCTATTAATATTATTATACATTCTTTTTATTTGCATTATTAATATTATTATGCATTCTTTTTATTTACATTATTATTAATATTAATATACATTCTTTTTATTTACTTTATTAATATTAGTATACATTCTTTTTATTTACATTATTATTAATATCAGTATACATTATTTCTATTTGCATTATTGATATTATTATGCATTCTTTTTATTTACATTGTTATTAATATTACTACACATTCTTTTTATTTACTTTATTAATATTAGTATACATTCGTTTTATTTGTATTATTATTAATATTAATATACATTATTTTTATTTACTTTACTAATATCAGTATACATTCTTTTTTATTTGTATTATTATTAATATTACTACACATTCTTTTTATTATCGTTATTAATATCATCCAGAGTTTGCTGCTTTTGAAGTATCATTCATGTCAGATTTAAAAAAAGATGTGGAACGGAAAAAGAAGGAGGTGATAGAGAAATTAAAGAATGGTGCGTTTATTGCTAAAGCACAACCACCATCATCATCTCATGGTTTATTTTGGCAACATTTATTACGTATTAAATGCTCCAGTGATCAATATCAACCATTTGTTCAATGTGGATTATGTAATGACATTTTATCGTATTCAATTTCTAATGGAACTTCTACGATTAGTTATCACGTAAAAAATTGTCTTGAAAAATCAAATCAATTAAAGAACAATAATACACTTGATAAATATTTAAATAAATCTAATGAAGTTAGTGTATCACCTGATGATAAACGATCAATAACGATTGCCTGCGCCAAATTCTGCGCATTAGACATGCGATCATTCAACATCGTAAAAGGTCCTGGTTTTACAAATTTATGTCAATCTTTGATTAATCTTGGCTACCAGTACGGTGTAGCTAAACTTGGTGCACCTACATCAACATTATTATTACCTGACCCAACTAATATATCGCGCACTATTTCTCGAATATCAAATGATTATCGAAATAAATTAAAAGATATTATGATGGTTGATTTAAAAGCTGTTAGATTAATTGGCATATCAAGCGATTACTGGAAAAATAGTGGTACAAGTGAGAGCTATCTTACAATCAATATTCACTACTGCAGAAATAACGAAAATATAACTTATATGCTACATACTTGTTTATTTGAACAATCGAAGACGGGGGACAACACGAAGAAAAAAATATTCTTTGTTTTGTCGAGTTATGATATTAATCGAGATAAATATCATATAATCTATGTAACCGATAATGGCTCCAATCTTGTTTGTGGTTTGAGTGAGTGACTTATGCATGCAAATTCATTTTATATAATTTTTTTTTCTATTTAGAGGGAGAAGTGCATCTTAGATGTATCTGCCATTGCTTGAACTTGACGTTACATAATAGTGTTAAACTATGTCCGAATTTAGAATTGTTGTTTAAATCATGTCAAGATATGTGTAGCCACTTTAAAAGGTGCGAAATGAACCAATTATTACCAACTAGTCTTAAGTTGAACGTTGAAACTCGTTGGAATTCGATTCATGATATGCTTGAGTCAATATCCTTGAATTTCAATGATTGTGAAGATCTTTTGCTTGAACGAAATGAAGCACATTATTTACAAGATATTAATCGAAAATTAGTTAAAGATGTAGAGAAATTTTTATCATTATTTAAAGTAGCAAGTGAGCAACTATCTGCTGATACTTCACCAACATTACATCTAGTTGTTCCCTGGTTTTGGAAATTAAAAGCTTCTTGTATACCTAACCAGGATGATTCTTTATTATTAAATCAATTTAAAAATGCTGTTTCAAATATGTTGGATGATAAAGTTCATTTGACATCATTACACTATATAGCTACATGTTTATATCCTGCAACAAAAAAGCTTCAAGTAATCTGGCCTGTTTCTAGTACTACATCGCTCTTATAACTTTGAAATTTTATTTTAGACATTAGAGGATAGTTATCGAAATGAAATTTATGCAGATATCAGAAAAATAATAGTAACACTTGGTATTCGTGAAGAAAACTCATCTTTATCATCTAAAACCAATTCTAAAACCACCAATAAACGATTAAAAAAAAAGAAAAACAATTTTATTAAGGAAAATGATGTTATGGTAGAATTTGCTGGAGATCCCGAGGACGACTCGGATGACGATTCTGATGAGCTTGAACGTTATCTTAAAACGAAACTGTCATTTACGAAGGATGATACAATTATACAATGGTGGAACAAACATTCGCTATTGTTTCCAGAACTTGCTTTGTTAGCAAAATCATTACTTGGAATTCCAGCAAGTTCCGCAACATCTGAACGGATTTTTAGTGCGTCTGGACGGATTTTAGAAAAACGAAGGCAATCATTAAATCCAGATGTAGTACACGATATGTTAATGATGCGAAACTTTCGAGATATATGATATTGTTTTTGTTTATTTATTTACTTTATAATGTGAAATAGATTGAATAAAATTGTACAACAAATTGATAGGAAAGTTAAGAGTTTTTTTTTATAATGTATAGCAGGGCAGGGCAGGTTAAAGGTTACAAAAATTTTTACAGGGCAGGGCAGGGCAGGGTGCGCGGAAAACTTACAGGGCAGGGCAGGTTGCAGGTTGTCAAAGTCTGAGAAGGGCAGGGTACAGGTTGCTAAAATGTCTTGCCCTGCAGCCCTCTAGTAATCGATGATAAATATTCAAGATATGACAGATTTCGACCAGTACAACTTTCGTATATAACGAATGAATTAGACAATGAGATGTTTAAAAAATTGAAGAAAATTCGAAGCCACCACCTTCTTGATTTTCGATCCAATGCGTAGCTTTCTTTTCTTTGGTCAGCTCTGTCGACACCTCCCATGAAACGATTGTAGTCGATAATAGATGTTGGGCATGTCACAGTTGTTGTACCGCCATCTTTTTTTTTTCTATAGATAATACCATAGGAAGTTGGATCGTGAAAATTTGACAATAAGAAAACTGGTTTTTTATCCTGCCATTTGTAAAGAACTAAATAATCTGATGTAATATATTCATATTCACCATAATTAAGTTTTTGGTTAGAACAACAAAAATCTGCTGGCAGATTTTTTCTATTTCCACGAATAGTTCCAGCAGCATAAAGCCCTTTTTTGTATAAATATCGAAGCAAATCCGGAGTTGTAAAATAATTATCGAAAAAAACTTTTCGATAAGAAAAGTGTATTTCTTTGACCATGGTTTTTACAACATGTTCACCTAGAGATGTTGTTCTGTCAGTATCTTTTCCTTTATAAATTTGAAAATCATACATATAACCATTGGCAGAATCTGCTAACACCCATATTTTAAATCCACGTTTGATCGGCTTCATAGGAACATATTGTTTTAGTGAACATCGGCCTTTGAATTTGACCATTGATTCATCAATGCTGACATATTCACCTAAAGTATAATTATTTTTGAAATTATTTCGTAGAATATTTAGATACTCATCGACCTTGTATGTCTTAGAATAGTCTTTTGATCTCCTTGAATGCGTTCGTTTACTATTACCCAAATGAATATTTGTTAGGATCTTTGTAAATAAGTTCCTTGGCATTGTTTGACTGACAATCGGCACGTTGAAATTCGAATTGGAAGACCAGTAAATTTTATACGACGGTAGTTTGTGATATCCCATTAGAATATTCAATCCAATCCATTTTTTAATATCAGCTATTTGCACTGGAATCCAATTTGTACCATATCTTTTACCACCATAAATATTCGTTTGTTTCCATATCAGTTGGAGTAATTGTTCAGTGAATAATAATTTGAAAAAATCGATAGGACGAAAGTTAGAATAATTTTGATGTGAAACATTTGAGGTATCGTTGAATAATTTCAAAGGTTTCTTCGGAATTTGAGAATTCCATTCAAAAGTATGTTTATGACCATCATCCGATGAACTCTCATATCCATCAGTATCAGATAAGCTTTCACTTGAATCATTACCGGATGAACTTTCATTTGTTCTATCATCGTCACGTGAACTTTGACTTTCTTTATCATCAGATGAACTTTCGTTGTCGCAGCTAGAGGATACTTCGTTCTCGTAACTATCAGAAGAACTTCCAGTTTCGTGTGAAGAATCACTACATTCAGAGAAGTCTGAAAGTTTTTCATCTTGAGAATTGGAATCACTTGAAATATCCATATCCATATCCATATTTCTTCTTTTTTTTATACTGATTTGATTGTAAGCTGTTAAAATGACCACTTCTTTTGAAAAAATACCATTTGATATAAATATAAACAAATATATATATAGTGCATATTATACACTGCTAAGAGAACGAGAAAAATCGAGATAGATGCCACCAGCGCTAAGGAGATAAACGCGGTTTCTATGAAAATTATATGTGTTCATGAATTAATACGTATTTTCCATTTATTGCAATGTATCAAAACATATCAGTGTTATATTATTCAAAAGATTCATGAGTTTCACTAATTAATATCGTTAAAGTGATAAATATAGTCCAGGTGCATACATCGAAGCGTCTTGTATGTCGTAGCGATGACAGCATGTCGATACTCTATTATTTTTGTGAGTTATTGAAATTTTATTAAATCTTAAAAAAGTGGGGCTTATAGGCCCCGTTGGTACTTAAAGGGTTAATACTAGAAATAAAATTTGTTATTTATGTTCTTGATTTCTTAAAGCAATAGCTATTTGCTGTTCTTCGTCACGAAAATCTTCAGAAGCATGAGTTGTATCATTATTTGTTGAAGATTGAACGTTTAATAAATTTTTTCGTTGATGAACAAAATGAACAAGATATGAAACAATATAAAGAATAATTGCCATTAATATGCAAACAGCTAAAAGTGTTGGAAAATGATTTGGATCACGATCCATAACTAGACCTAAAATATTCAAAAAGAATTAAATATATTTTATCATTTCTAAAGTATACCAGCTATTTTGTTCAATGTCATGGCTCCAAGTGCTGTCCCACATAATAGTAAACCAAGAAGCATTGGTATAACATTTAATCTTTGATTAAAATATCCAAATGATAATGGGAATATCGGTGCAAATATCAAACCGGTCACTGCACCAAGAATAAATAAACTTGTACTTGTTAAACCAATCACCCAAACATAAATAAGCCAAGCAGCGGCCAAACACAAAGCTCCAAACCAAATAATATTGAGACATATATTCACTGATAGAAATACAGATATGATGGCAAAAATGAATCGTCCAACCTATTTTAGTAAAAACTTATCTTTGGTAATGAGTTGATAAATAAAATGATAATACATACAGAATATGAAAGCCAATAAAGAGTCATTCCCCAACTGGCGGCTTCAGTTGATAGATTAAATTTATCAAATTTGAGATAAGAAAAAAAGAATTTTGAAAATGTTTGATAATTTCCTCCCATGAAAAATGTATAAATAATAAATATTGTTGAAAGACTTAAACCATATTGAAAATATCCACGACCACATGTACGAGGAGAATATGGCGATGAATTTTCTTTCTTCATCGAAAGATTAACATCATCTAGATTCGTACTAACAGCAGCATAGTCAATCTAAATATAAGCATGACATTTGTTAACTAATTCAACTTTTACATAGATGAAGTTAGCAGTATCTTCGACTATACTACTACTTTCATTATTTTTCCTTTGCTTTATTATTACCTGTTGTACTTGTGATTTTTGTCTGCGATTTCTTAACACTGGAATATAAAACAGCATATGTCCAATAGCAATAAAAAAACATAAAACTGCAGTGATTGAATATGGAATAACAATGTTTGGATTAACATTTGTCACATTAGTCCCTTCATGATTTGTAACATTGAGGGATAAATGTTTTTGTGTAATAAACGGACGAACAAGTAAATTAGCAAAAACAGCACCCAATCCATAACCTAAATGAACTGAATTTAAAGGTGCTGCAGCATTAACAGTCCACATTTTCAATAAAAGGTTATTTCCACCTAAATCTGTAAAACCTTTCGAAAGTCCTTGAGTAAACGATAAAACACACATTAATATTAATGATGTAACAAATGGAGTAGCAAAAACCACTGAAAACAAAACAATTTAAAGGGTTTTTATTTCGATGAGAAGATTTTACCAACAGCAGGTAAAATAAATGCACAAAATAGGAGACCTTCAGAATGATTTTTAACAATATTTTGTAAAATAGCACCAAGAAGATTCGCAATTAAATATCCAGCACTTCTCGATGCAAGTACTGAACCCATACCACTATATGTTACTTGAATATTTGCTGCGAGAATTGGCAGTGTAGGACCAATTAATTCAAGATGAAAACCCTGAAATATTAAAGAATTTGTTTTTCTGATGAAAATCATTCGTAGAAGTATAAAATTTACCATTATAATCCAAGTTAAAATAAGATATCCAGTTTTCATTAAATTCCATGGATGACTTAAATAAACTTGTATCCTTGATGCAGTTTTTGACGTAGATTCGATCACCATTGTGTATTTAACGTCTTACTATCGTCTAATAAATACTTGTTTTTGTTTGATCAATGAACACTTAAAATCTGAAAGTTAATATTTTCATAAAATAAAATCATTCTATAGTAACTGATGTTGATTTATAGTCTTAAGATTTATACTCACGAAATCTTTGTTCCAGACAGTTACTTGAATATGATACAAAGAAATGAACTTAAAAATCATAGTTTTTCTTATCCTATGTTGAAAAAAAAGAGAAACTCTACGGTCGACATGAGTAAGATCAAATGTCCAATAAAAAAAACGACGCATTCAATTGTGAGATAAAAAGAATGAATATATTCATGTGATCGTGTGAGAAAATGCACAGACTTCGTTTTAATATTGAATATTGTCTATCAGTCTGATGTGTCTCATAATGCACACTCAGCTTGAATATTGGCTTGAGAAAAAAACGACAGAACGAATCAACGGTTATCTCTATGTACAAGTCAAGTTAAGATGTGTTTGCACTCACTCCCTCAAAATTATTTCAATAATATCAATTCGATAGTACAAGATTTTTTGTAGAGAAAATTCGATTTATTTTAAAGATGTTATATGTATCAACTAGAGAAAAAAAATGTAGAATTAAATATACAGTTCGTATTATTTTCTTAATATAATCGCTGAATTAAACAAGTGGATAGCTGGCCATGGTAGCAATACCACATTGATTTTTCTTGTTACGACTCATCCAGATGTATCCTTGGTTACCCCATGATGTTCCCCATGAGTTTTTGACGATGTAGTATTCTCCTGATCCTGATTTGTCATAACCAACAGCTAATACACCATGATCGAGTTCGGTTGATGAACAATCTGGTTCGTTGTAGATACCTGATTTGTAGAATTGAAATGAATCTTGTGATGCATCAATAGCAACTGAAATTGGACCAATTGTAGCAATAGCATTTTGAAGATCAGTTTCATTTTGAGCTTTGATATCAACGAAACCCTACATTTAAGATAATCATAGTATAAGTTTTTACATTTTTATATGAAGATAATACATACAGTATCAGTGGCACCAACATTTTCTTTTTTGAATCGGCATTTACCATCTTGAGCTTCATATGGGTAGCTTTTTTCGGTATCAATACCATTGTTAGCTTTGATATATTGAAAAGCTGAATCCATTAAACCACCATCACAACCCATATTACCGAATTTGCCTGAGCAATCAACTAAGTTTTGTTCAGAGAGTGAAACGAGTTGTTGTGTTTTAGCGAAGTGTTGACCTTCGAGTGAACCAGTAGCTGAGAAAGCCCAACATGATCCACATTGTCCTTGATCTTTGATTGGTGTTACGTAACCTTTTGTACGCCAATCTATACAAAATATTTTTAAGATTATGTGCAAATAAAGAATTAATATGAGAGATACATACCAACAGCATCTGGAATAGCAACATTTGCTCGAGCTAAGAATGTATGACGATCGAATGATTCATCTTTAGCTGAGACTTTGAAACCGTTCATTTGTTTACGGAATTCTTCATTGGTCTACACAAATATATATATATATGTAGTGTTTTCTGCTGTTTGCAATAATAGAAGAAAAAAATAACTTACCATATCACCGAATCGATTCATTCCTAAGGTGTATGTATGAATACCTAAGTCAGCTTCAACATTGTGTTTTTGAATTTTAGCAAGATTAGCTTCCCAGATGGTACGACTATTAAACAAAAATAATAAATCTAATTTCTAAAAAAAAACAATACAATATTGTATAACATACCGAGCTGTTTCTTCTTCAATTGAATTGTATTGTTTTTCATGGACACGTTTGAATAAAGCCCATTGATTACCGAGTTGTTCATCGAGCATAGGTGCACAATAAGCGCCTACGAAGAGGACACAGAGAGCAATGATGACTTTCATTATTGTTATTGTATGTAATGATAATATTCTTGTTTATCAACGAAAAATGATTTACTAGCAATGAGAAAGTGATGTGTATTTATATGAATTAGAGACTTTGCATGATCATCTTACTTTGCAAAGATAACGTTAAATTTTGTCGTATCATTGAAAAAGTGCATAATGATTTAACTGACGTAGTATGATATGAGAAGAAAAAAAAATCTTAGTTATCTTTAGAATATTCTTTCTTATTTCACCGTCATATAGATAAGCGATGGTAGAGAAGCCATATGGTGTAGTGCAGTTTTTTTAAATGACATAACATGAAGTAATATTTTTATTTTATATGAATATCTTTTTATTCATAATTGTCAATGATTTGAAAGTATAATCAATGCATTTCAATAAATGATTGCAAATGTGTAGGTATCGAATTCATATAATTGATCTTTTCCTTTTGAATTAGTCTAGCAGAAATACATTTTAAGTGCAATGGAATGGGATGCATTTCAAAAAGACGTTGAAATCTTGTATCTTCAGCACAATCTTTCGGTGTTCGCCCATGAGCAATTGCATCAAGATGTGCACCAGAATTGATAAGCAATTTAAAAATGTTTTCTATATCAATTCATTGGAGATGGGGAAAATGTTTATAATCATTTAGAACAAAATCATGCAATGATGTATAATGATCATTATCAATTGCGTTGATTGATGCTCGACAAGACAACAAGAATTTTACAACCGGTAGAGATGGAAATGTTGTGACAATACCAATATGACCAAGCCACCGATCCTTGTGGTATGGAATCAAAGAAAGATGTAATAATGTTTTGTTATCAGATACAGTACGATAATCAAAATCAAGTAATTGTTGAACTAATTGATGAATAATTCGTCGTCGTTCTCGTTCTTTTTCACCACTATATCTTAAGATCTAGATTTTTTATGTTATATTTCAATTTATTCTTTTGTTACTTACTTCAATTCCAATAAAAATTAGATTCAGTATGATAGATAAACATTGATCTATATGATATACTTCGGTGGATTTGATTTCATTTGATGACCAAGGAAATTTGTCGTTATCTCCATGAAAGTCTTTTATCAATCGAAGATCTTTAATTCTTAAAAATTTATTGCCAGTTAATTTTAGTACAATTCTTGAGATCTTCTAAATATCCATGTACATCAATTTGTGTCTTTATTCGAAGATAACATGCATGTGTATATAATTGTATAGCACGTTGATATTCTATGTTATTTGCATAATATAAAGCTTGAGTATTAAGTTGATTAAGAAAATCGAATGTTATATTCAATCGTTCCCATATCATAAGACCTTGCATCATGATACGATCTGGATCATTTTTAATCAGTTCTAACTCTTCGATTGTTTGACATTCAATATAATAATCATAAACTTCCATCGGTGGTAGAAGATTAGTGTTAAGAATTGATTTGTTTAAGTCTTTGTATCTTAATTTCATTACTCGTAGAAAATATTCATAAGATTTGCTATATCTATCGACTTTATTCGATGTCAAATGATAACATCCAATTAATTCAAGTTCATCAATGATTTGTGAAGTTGTATACCAAGATTTGTCATCATTATTCATATAATAATTCATAACAAGCTCATCATCGTCTACACCAGCTATTGTTAATGGTGTGCATCCCACGTTATTCTTGATAATTTTTGCATGATATTCTTCTAATAACAATTTGATAATATCTAAACTTAATAAATACTGTACAACATCATAGTTTTCATATTTACATGCAATCATAAGAGATGTTGAGTTATTTTGATCAACATTGTATAAATTAGCACCATTTTCAATGAGATATTTGACCATCTCTACATGCTAAACCTAATGGTGTCCATGACTTTCCTTCGGACTCATCTGCCATATGATTAACATTTGCTTTTCCAAGTGATATCAATATTTGAACAACATTGAAATGTTTGTTTTGAACAGCAAGCCAAAGTGCTGTTTGTCTATAGAAATATCCTTCATATTTAAAAGAATCATAATCAAAGTCAGACGAATAATTCAGTGCATCAACTATACAATAATGAGAATAGTTTTCTAATAAAAAACGAACAATTGAACTATGTCCATGAATAGATGCAAACATTAATGGAGTTAATAGGTATGTTGGAGAACGATATAATTCCATCATTGCATTTAAATAACGATCAAGTTTAACTGTTTCAATTGATTATAAAACTGTTTCTAACTGATGTACATTATCATTTTCACATGCACAAATAGTTCCATGTAATGTTTCATTAATAAGATCTGTTAATTCTTCAAAATTACCATTATTTTTATATATGATTTGTGGACGCTCCATCACTTATTATGCACATGCAATCACATGATGACTGAAAAATAAATATGTTTATGTATGTATGTATGACTCATATTCTTGCATAATGTTATGAAAGAGAAAAACATGTTTCTTTCTGCTCTGGTGTAAGTAAATATTCTACACACTGAATTTATTTATACACATAGATTAATTGAAAAGGCATTAATGTTTTCTAATAACCACGATCAAAATCAACTCTATCACACATACTAAGATTGTTACAAAATCTGCTCAGATTGTCACAAAAAAGTTCAACAATAGCATACGCTAGAGATGGTGCAGCACTATGACTAGTAAGGAGAAGTCCTTGTGTACGCCAAAATGGATGGTCGGAAGGTAATGGTTCTTTTCGACAGGCATCAATACTGCACCTGCCAATTGTTTCCATTCCAAACTAGTAATGAGATCAGCATCAACAATTGCACTACCTCGTCCTACATTAATAAATATCGCTGTTGGTTTCATTCGAGCAAATAACGTTGCATTCCAAATATTTTGAGTTTGAGGTGTATTGGGTAGGGGATTAACTACATAGTCAGCAGTTTCTAAAAACCGAGGAAGATCTTCTAATGTTTCACATTGATGAAATGGACTAATCGAACGAGATGTGTTGGGAATTCCTATCAAATTGACACCAAAAGGTACCAGCATCTGAGCAGCACAACAACCATAATCTGTCATCCTTTAAGAGTACCTGATTGACGATCATACCATTTACCTTCTTTTTAATGATCAATCCGTCCCATCACTTGACGTTCGTATGCAAGAAAATAAGTCAGTTTTCTTTCATCCTTCGACTTGATATGTCAGGTGATGTACATGTTAATTACGACGAAATCATCGATTTTCTGGAGAAAGAGGTAGAGTTTTGTATTGAAATATTGAATAGAATTTTAAGATTTTTTTCCATATGAAATTGGGACTTACGAAAGAGAGAGTAGCAGCGATTAATCCAGAGAAGATGACTGAAGGAATTTATGCTATGTTAGATCTTGATAAAGCAACAAAAAGTAAACAAACAACAATTTATAGATGGATTGGAGCTTCATAAACTTCATCTGACATACAACAATCGAACTTTCTTTCTCTACTTTTAGAAATAATATATATGAATTTTGTATTGTAAAACGCTTCAGCTATATCACTGACTTCGATGCATTCATCTTTCATAAAACAATTTTTATCTTGAATTATACAAAATCATTTGAAGATTAAAGAGTGCGACATCTTTCTCCTAATACATACACAAAATGACTCAATCGTTTTGTATTTCTTCGTTACATAGGATGACTAATAAAAACAATCTTCTTCCGTTCTGTTTTTCTTCGAACAAATATAAAAGCACATTCATAACGTTTAAAACGTGCGCAGTTAAAAAGTTACCAACATTCTAATCAATGGAGAATTTCCCAGTTGAAATTCTTCATCGTATTTTCGATAATCTTGATAGTGAAACAATTTTATTATCAATTCGACCTGTCTGTCGATTATTTCGTGCGGTTATCAATACTTATAATCGATATATTTTCAATTTTGAATCAATTTCAAAATCAAATTTTCATCTTCAATGTCGATTAATTCGTCCTGAAAATGTCATTTCATTAATACTTTCCAATAATGAACATATTCCTGATCAAATATCTTTATTTATGTCATCAGTACGTCTTCGACAAATGACTCGTCTTCAATCGATAACATTCATTGGTATTAATGAACTTCAATTGAATAATATAGTCAAAAGAATTAATCTCAATTCTCTAACTTCATTTACATTACATATTGAAAAATACGATGATAGACGAAAAAAAACTACATTAAATTTTCTTTCATCAATTATGGCACAATCAAATCTTCAAAAAGTTGAGTTAAATATTAGAAATGATCGAATATCTGAGATATCATGGCCTGTACATTGTAGAATTGAACATTTAATCATAAATGAAAACATCACTTTTGATAATCTATGTAAAATTCTATCGAGTGCTTCTCAACTTCATAAACTCATCCTAAAACAAGATTTACCCACTATGATTGATCATAGAAAATTAACTTCGACTTTCCCACAAATAACTTCATTGACAATTGAACAATTAGATGTACCAATTGATCGACTTGAGTCATTTCTTATGTTAACACCATCATTAATTTATTTAAAATTAATCGGCAAAGAATGTGTAGCAGATGGAAAACGATGGGAACAATTTATTCAAATAAATCTTCCACATTTGGATACATTTCAATTTTTTATGGATGTTAAAAAATCAATTGGACAAACTCGTGAAGATCTTCAAATAATTCTTGATTCATTTCGAAGTTCATTTTGGATCGAATATAAAAAATGTTTTATTGCTGGAGAACTCAATATCAAACGACCCCATGATATTCAACTCTATACAATACCAATTTGCAAATTGACTCTTAAATATGAATTATATTCAGAAAAAATCTTTGTTTATACTACTTCAGATATTTCTCCATCAACAACAGAAAATATCAATGAACTTAATTTATCTTTGAAAATGCAAATACACGATAATACTATTCCAAAACAAGTATTTCATCTAAATATCAATTTTCATGGAAGATAACTTACATATCTATTCATTTATTTATAGCTTTTGTTACGAATGAATCCTTTATTTCCAAAAGTGACTAAACTTCAGATCGAATTTGAATGCAAACCTTCGTTGAAGTCAACGAAATTTTTTCAATCATTAATCGACGTTTCACGACTAGTGGAAGTTACATTGGAAAAGTATTCTTTCGACAAAGGCGATGAAATTGTATTGTGTGAAATAATACATTTTATTGAACAATTGCCTAATCTAACATCTTTAACAATTCATAGTATGTTTTGCAAATATGAAATGTATCCATTTCTAGATAATATTTGTTCAATAATTCCACGTCAGATCAAATATTTGCAATTAGCCATTAGTAAATTAGATCAAATAAAGATGATTTTAGACCGTTGTCAATATCTCTCAGTTGTAAAATTTGAAACAACACGTTTAAAACTCTCCGCAGAAATTACTCATTGGTTTACTGAAAATACTATTGATTCAACATTAACAAGACAAAATGGATGTGATATTATATGGATTGGAAAAAGAAAAAGTCCAATGATAGTTAACCACAAACGAATCAAATCATCCGATGATTAACACGTTCACTATCCCTATGTGAAAAAATGAGTACTTGTTCCACATCCATTTTTTATTCTTTCTTTAATTTGAAAATAGATTATTTTTAGAGCGTATTACGTTTATATATCACAAAAATAAGTTTTAAACATATGTTTGATGTTTTCTTTTCATGTAACACATATGATTCAATTGTCTCTCTTAGAATAATACTGAACTAACTTTATTGGAGAAACGATGATTATATATATAAATGAGCTAGGAAGTACCACACATTTCAGGAATAAAATATGACGAAGAGAAGAATATATCTAAACAACATAAAGAAAAGGAGAGGAAAGAGAAAAAAAGATAGTACTTCTTATGCAAAAAACAAATGCAAATAAGTCTCAACAGAATGTAGACAATGCAAGAAACCATTCTGCTTAGCTTGTTTTAATGAGTGTCACTAGACATCATTACTAGAACCTGTGACTATTCTTTTATTCTCATCTAAATTGGTAAAGAAGAACAGTTCGTGTTATATTGAAATACTTTTTTGTAATATAAACATTTAAAATTGAGCATTCACTTTTTTTCCTCAGATAAAAGCAAAGCGTTATGTTTTTTAAAATTTTAATATGTCTAGTGCATCGTATGTGATTCAACCAAAAACTAGAATCCTTCTTTACATCGTACCGATACATTCCAATAGTCCAAATGCAGTCAACTAGTTGCGTTTAGCAAATTCTAGCTTCAAATATCATATGCAGCGCATGCATCACATATGATGCACCGGACAGTGAACGTGTTAAATATTTGTCTGTTAACAAAGAATTGATCAAATTTTATTGTATCTATATGTGAATACATAAAATATTAAAATTTGTTACAATACATTTTGCACATTTATTCTAAATAAACTGACCATTAGATGAAGCGAGATTATTTATGTTGACTTTTTCTTATGACTATATGTTGCTAAGCAAGGTGTCGGCAATTCAGAGTTCGAGTGAATTTTGTTTTTTCGAGTTCTTTTACATCGTCTAATAGAGCTTGAGCTGCTGATCACGAAAATCTACTTTTTAGTTCTAGCAAATGTTTTCTTCCGGTCGAAAAATACGAAATAATTGAGAGATGTTGTTTTTCGAGAAAAATACATCTTTTGCAGAAGTGTAAAAATTTCCCACTTTGCTCTTTTTTAGCTTTTGAAAATAATTTTTTGAGATTTAGCATCAAAGCCTGTGTAGAAATATATTCTTAAATCGACTCAACAGACGAAACCATATTAGTGGTGGTGCTTCGAATCGCGTGTAGTGCACCACTTACAGATTGATTTTCTAAACTTATCTAGTTTTTCTATGTATCCGATGGAGCCAAATATTCTATTTCGTTTATTTTATGCATTTGCTTTCGTTTGAGAAGAAGAAGAATAGATAATGGAGTAGAGAGAAAAAAAGAACATTTCTTATAGAGTATCATTAATAACCATCGAATCATATTTCACATTTTAATTTCATAGGGATTACGCTGAAAGCTAGTTTTTTGAATTGAATTTCAAGTAGAGCAACCTTGAAAAGATAGAATAATAAAAAATGGTTTTAATACGTACTTTTATTTCTGAGGGTTTAGCACATAATTCCTATCGTATCATCGATGATTACATGACAAAATGAGCTATATAAAAGGAAAGGAAGAAATAGACAGAGAGAGAAAAGTAAATGCAAACGATGTGGTCAACAAGCTTCTTATTGTCGATGATACTTAGGTAAGTGGGATTTATCAATGTTTATAAAACTATATAATCCCATGATCAGTTTTAGTCTTTCAGGTATGTTTTCTATTCTCTGTGGTTCCATCTGTCTGTCTTCTCTTAATTTATTAGGTCAAGTCGGAGCTGCAACAGTAGCAGGTAATGAAAATGAAATTTGTTTGACGTTTTATCTCTTCATCATCTAGCTCGTTCTTCACTGTCGCCGATGCCTGACGATGGCATTTGTGCAAGTGCCACATGGAACCGAAATGGTATCACGGTAGCTGGCGGAAATGGAGTTGGTTCCGCATTGAACCAACTTCATTATCCCTATGGATTATTTGTCGATGATGATGCTACCATTTATATTGTGGATAGCCTGAACTACAGAGTGGTCAAGTGGGAGGCTGGAGTATCCAGTGGTCGACTGGTAGCTGGTGGAAATGGGGAAGGCAATCGAAATAATCAACTAAGTTATACGACAAAGGTTGTTGTTGACAAGACTGGTACTATATTTATTTGTGATGCTGATAACAAGCGAGTTCAGCGATGGTCTAAAAATGACAGCTATGGGCAAACAGTTATTGCAAATATCTCATGTATAGGACTGGCATTGGACAACAAAGGATCGTTGTATGTCTCTGATAATGAGAAGTATCGTGTAATAAAATTACCTGATGAGCAAGTAGTCGCTGGTGGAAACGGAGAGGGATCTGCACCAAATCAATTCGAGAATCCTGATCATATATTCGTCGATTACGATCAATCAATTTTCGTAGTTGATTATGGAAATAACCTTGTGATGAAATGGGCAGTCGACGCCAAAGAAGGTATTGTTATAGCTGGCGGGAATGGATGGGGAAATCACACCAATCAGTTGGCTGCGCCAACTTCAGTGGTCGTTGACCCTATGGGCACTGCCTATGTCGTTGATCGGAACAATCATCGAGTTATGCGTTGGTTCAAAGATTCCAAAGCAGGTAGCGTCATCATCGGCGGACAAGGATGGGGTAATGAAACAAATAAGCTATGTACGCCGCGTGATTTAGCATTTGATCGACAAGGCAATTTGTATGTAGCCGATGCAGCAAATCATCGTATTCAAATGTTCGCTATTGACAAAAGTTCTTGTGCCAAAGGTCAGTGCCGAAAAGATGCTATCAATTGAGTAATCATTATGTATCTCTATCTTTTTCATATAGTATTGGCCTAGAATGAAGTTCATCTTTGCTAAATAAAATTAAACGACGAAAAGAGGAGTGAGGTTAACATTATCTTCATCTCACTTTTTTAATTTTCTGGAAATTTGAATAAATTCCTTTAATAATACTTCGTTTTGTTAGATAATTATCTGCGAGCAAGACAATATTTATTCAAAACTCATTATTTCGGTGTGATCATTATATATTTCATACATATATCTCACACCTCACACACACATTCTCAAGCGATTTCGAATCTTATTAATTAGTTTCATAAGATGAGGCACAATAAAGCGAAGGCCAAGTGATAGACCAGCAAATACACTTAAAAATGTTGTTAATAATTCCAATGCATCGAATTGATAATAATATGTATAAGTACAATCAATTGGAGCACAACTATTAAAAAAAATTTCATAAGATATATTAGTTGACCATGATTCAATAAACATTTCATTAGCCATTGTCTCAATAGTATTATTCATATGAAATCGTTGCGATGTAATTTTTAAATTAATAAAATCTGCCATACGCATAGGGTTAAATTCAAAAAACTTTCGAAGAGCGCTCACACATGTTTCCGAGTAGAAACAAGCTAAAGACGAGAGTAGTGTTGTTTCGAGTGAATTACAACCGACTACTATACCATCAACAGGAATCACAACCTGACGAATAAGAATGTATCGCGGTATCGTACATGTTCGTAAAGTAGCACAGGTACAACTTGAATTCTCTGTTTTATCATTCATGGTAACAGGCACAGTGAGAAAAGAAGCATTTTTCCTTTGTCTTTTTCAACTACAATTAAGTTCCAAGCTGATGAAAACATAGGTAATAGAGCGTTTCCTTGTATAGATGAACGAAAAAGGTCCAATATTTGTGCGAATAAAATTGGTGTTCTTTTTTTAAACTGATTTAATGTCGAATTCATTTCATTAATAAATTGATTACGAGGTGTCAATTGATTGGCGAGTATAGTAGAATCAAGAAATATGTCAATACTATTCTCAACACTGTCTTTTGCCAATGAACAAAGCCCTTTGAGAGATTCGATTATGGGTTTCATCCACGATAAATATTCGTTGTTACCATTTACAGGTGCACTACCATAGAATAATTGCCCTATAAATATATATAAATTACATTTATATTCCACACCCTCAAGATAATTACCTGTTGTTAACATATCATGAATCAGATTAGATTCACATGCCATGTGAAATGAATTCACTCGTAATTCAGTAATAAATTGTTGATAAGGAATTGATATATGAGAGCAAGGACAGCTGACATCATTTGAATATATATTCAGTAGTTGTTCATAATCGTCAATCGAAGGTGACATAAGTGTTTTACTAACATGACGTTCGACAATAGCTGTATAAAGAAGTAACATACTGAGAGAACTTGTGTAAAGAAGTAGATAAATTCGAGTATATTTTCGTTGTATATTGATGTCATTATTTGCTGCGATCTTGAATAAATTGAGATTTCTAATTGACTGATAAATAATGCGTAGAAGATGTATGATACGAGTATAGTTTGAAGATTGTTCTAAAGTGATTATATGTATTAGATTAATTTGACAGGATTTATTATAAAGAATAATCATCATCTATGTATTTCTTACCGTGCCGAACATTTCGATTTTTCCACCAATCAACATAAAAAAAGAAGAGTTTGCCGATAAATGGTACAAGTAATTGAAGTCCTGTATTTAGTCCACCACAAATAGAAATAAGAAGAAATAATACCACGATAAAATCACGACGTCGATTAATTGTATACGAGCAAAAAATTGGTGCACACTCATCATAGAATTTATCAAAATGTGTATTATTATTAGTTGACATTTCCAATAACATTTCATTAAGCAATTTATTCATCGTTATATCTTCAAAATAAGTGGGAACAGATGCATTGAGTTGTTTGATATTTGGTGAAGATTGATCATGACTGATCATGGAATAAGTTGCAATGATATGTTCGATAAATGTTAGATTGTACCACCATGCGATCTTTGATTGGAGAAATCCCGTTAAAGGTAGACACCCAAAATATAATTGTTTATAGAATAAGAAAATGTTAACATTTTCCACGTATGATTCATTTATAATAATTTGGGGGACTCTGTTGCAGAACAAAGGATTATCTCCGCATGAACACTCTGTTTTAACAAGAAAATATCCGTTTGAATCTATATCCAATACAAGATGAGAAGCAAAACTAGCACCCACGGTATCATTATCGTCTATAGTCATATCAAAATTCATACCCGCTCCATTGAAAAAATGATTAGTAATAAAAGCAACACTAATCCAATGGAATGTACGTATAAACTCCTTGCGCGTTATACGAATGAATGAATCTATCATCGTTTGGGTTTGTTTAATAAATAATGATGGAACAAGAACACGATCATTAATAAATTCTGTACTAGAGAATAGACGTTGAGCATCTGCAATATTAATTTGAACTAATGAACAAAAAATAGCTAAAAGTTGAAAATAAGAAGCACCCATTGCACGAAAATCGAGGGCAAACATATCTTTTCTGTCGATTGATACATGATATGGGTCAAAAGATATCAAATAATTTAACCATTCTGACGAAACTAAATCACTTGAACAGACTTGATGTAATACAAATGTCACATTGAGAAAAGCTCGATGAGGAATAGATATTTTTGAACACGGACAATGTAATGTAATTGGATGATCATTATGCAATTGTTCATAAGTAGCAAGAGGTGGATCGACAATTGTAATTGCATGATTTTGTTCAACAAGAAATGTATATAGACCAGCGCTAGCTGATAAACTAAGCATGAGAAAAATAAAAAATCGTGTTAAAAGTTGTTCTCGGTAAATGTTGATAGATGTACGTGGTGTTTCTCTTTCAAAACAATTGCAAGTAACAATTATGTGCCGAAGTTTACGAAGTAAAAGTCCAACATGATCTGCAAATAAAAATAAAACCTCATTTCCATATGGTATTTATCGTGAATGAATGTATTCTAACTTACATCGATTTTGTTGAGGCGACCTAACATGTGGCACGTCTTCAATTGGTAAAACTCGTTTTTTGAAACGTAACATCACTACCACAATAAGAGGTGCAATAAGCTTTATGGTAAATGATAATATGCCAAAAATACCAATAATAGTAGTAAATATAAAAAGAATATCAAAACGACGTTTGTATGAATATGAACAATAAGTTGGATTACATTGAGAATAATATAATTCAAAGCGAATATCACATGTTGTTTCATCAATCATTAGTTCATTCACAAGTGTTTGTATTGTCGAATATACAGAAAAATATTTGTTAGAACTGTTCGACAATAATTGTATATCTATGGGTAATGATCTATGTGAGAGAACAAGACATGACTGATTGTAATAACATTCGAGTGTTGAAGCAAGTGTAGCATCTATAATTAAACAATCCATTACCATTCCTGGTATAGGTACCAGATGACCATTGCTATTGTTGACAATGGCTGGATGTGGGCAACCTTCGATTCGTAAACAAGAACAATTACCGAACATTCGAGATTTCATTTCCGAAGTTATCTCTGAGTTCATATCTGTTGACGAATAATATAAGTAAAAATTCGTTTGTAATGCTGATACAATTTGATTACCATTAATTATACGTCTAATAGCTAATAAATTACGATTAAGCGTTGCTTTAGATAGAGCAATCTGATTTTTGAGAGCTGCCTCAGCTTGTCGTCGAACAATTTCTTCGGCAGGTACTGTTGGCGTGAGAATACGTGTTGTTTCAAAACTTGCGACAACATCAATCCAAGTTTTGTTACTTGCGGTACATAAACCTGCGATAGTTTGCCAAAAGAAACTTAGAATGACACGAAAATCATTTATAGACTCTATCGAAATGTTTTTATTTGTAAATAACATATCAATCCATGTTTGTTGAATAAATTGACTCGAACAAACTTGATGAAAAATAACTTGAGTAGTGACGAATGTACCATAATTAATACCCAATTTTGAACATGAACAATGAAGAGTTTTTGAATAAGCATGTTTTAATTGAGAAAATCTCGTGTAAGAAGGTTTATGTTCAGTTTTTTCAGCAGTCCGAATAACAAGTGCAGCAGCAGTAATAATTGCGATGAGACATACAACAAATGCGCCCAAGTAGATACGAGTAGCAAGACGTTCTTTTCGTAGAGTCTGTTCGTTACTTGAAGACTTTTTAAAAAGATTTAATTCCAGAAATGATTGCCATAAGCGATTCAATAAATTACGAGCTATTTCAAGTATAACTTATGTTGAGTAATAATACAATAAATGAAGCTTCAAAAGAAAACTAACGCAGTTCTTGTTTAGAAAAATAACGAAGCTTTCTTTTCTTTCTCTTTTTTTTATTATTAAAATGATTAATGACATAATGACTTCATTCCGTTCTTAATAAACTTTTATTTCATTTATCATTTATGACAAATGATTAACGAGGAAATAAATCTGCTGTAAGCTTAAAAATATTATTAAAAATCTTTTTTTTCTCACTTGTCATTTGTTGTGGGTGTAGGTGTGGGTAGTGAATGAAAAGAATATCCACACTTATCCACGAAATAATACGGTGACTATATTCGAACTAAATTGATTAGTAAATGTTACTCCGATTAGCTTTTTAGGTTATCGAAACAATTCATCTTTCAGGTAATCAAATTCGAGATGATGAAGCGAAAGATGGCTCTTTGTGTATGAGGTAATTCATAATAAACTAAGCATTTATTATTTACAATTTAACTTTTTCAAATAGAAAACATATATCAATCTTTTCGAAAGCAATATTGGTGATGACGAAATATAATTTTTTTTACTGATGAAATAAAAAACAATCGAGTAAAAATATTATTCATTCGATTTCATCTAGACGATAACTCATCTCTATATGAATTCTAATCAAACTGGAGGTGTTGGAGCACAGTTCTTAGCTCAAATGTTGACAAATAACGAAGTCATTTAATTTTCTAAGCTTTTTTATTTTTATTTGAACATGTATTAGTTCTTTTAGACATGCTTATTGATTATTGAAATATCTTGAGAGTGTGGGTGTGGACTTACGGAATATACATCCACGTTCACATCTTACACCTTCAAAATAATTATTTAATTGCATGAGATCGTTTAGATATATTCAGACTTATTTATTTATTTATTTATTTATTAATTTTTTCTAGATTAAGTTCAGTTTCCGATATAGTCAATCCTCTTTTAATAAAAATAGTAATTTTGTCGATAGGTAAACGGATAGACAGGTCTCATTGTAGTTCCCATAGCTGTAGGTGAAAAAATGGGATTGACATGATAATGACTCTTTGGTATACCAAATTGATAGTAAAAATGGCTCAGCTGTGACGAAATTGTGTTCATGCCGTATGACTGATAATGACCTTGAGAATTTGTCAATTCTAAATAAATATGAATAATATTAGTATTTAAAATTTTAACAGAATATACTAACGAAACGATTGAGTTGGCTGCATAGTATTAGCCCATGTGAAATTCTTCAAATATGGATTGATAACAAGATAAAGAGTTTCATAAACATTGCTGTATCGATCGGGTCTTTGTCTGCCACCAGTACTTCTTTGAACATCCAAAGCAACACATCGAAAAATAGTGTCAATATCAATACTTGGTGTTGTTATATAACGAAGTAAATGATAAGTATAAATACTATTTCGATAATTATCTGCTAAACCGAAGAACTGTGCACCCACCTCACAGGAATTAGCAATGATCGTTGATGGAGGTGGACGTATTGGTGCAAGACCTTGCAATGATTCCATTGGATCTCCGTCAACAAAAAAAGGTGTTTCACCTACAAGATTTCGATAAGGCCGCGCGCAGTCGAGAATCAATATAACTGCTCTAGGACTTTTGGTATGCAACATTGCAATGATTTCCTCCGCACAATATACCGACGATCCGATATTTTTTGGAGAAATCTGACTGTTATCTATTGGCATCAAATAAGTTTTGCCATCATGTTGCACAGCGAGACCAGAAAAGTAAACTACTACTATCGCATGTGGTTCGATTGATTGTATAAATCTATTTATACGTGAGAACATTGTTTGAGATTCCAAATTTGTTGCACAATGGGATAAAAATCCAATTGTACGTAGTGCATACGAGATGTCATTTGCATCGTTCACGCAAGTTCGCCTGGGTTTTATTTGGTAAGTATCATTGCCAATGACTAATGCTTGTTTTTGAAACATTATCACTATTGATTCGAGTCAGATGGTGTACGAATAAATTTGAATTGATAAGATAATCTAAAAAAGATGGGATGATTATAGTTTCATTATAGATAACAGTTCTACGATGTAAAAGTAATCTCAAGAAACTATTGTTACTCAGTAGTTTGACTACTTCGCTAAATTGAATTATAAATGATGAAAATATATGCAATAATTTATACTTAATGTCAAATATTTATATATCATCTATGCGCACGACTGATTCAATGACTCATACGAATATATCCTCTTCCTCAATACATCACCCTCACAAAGATACAATTTGATAATTGACTATGACGACACATTATTAAATGATTTAATATTACAAATGTAATGGTTGGTTTTTCTCCAGTTGGACAGCTGATACATTTTAGAAAAAAATCACTCATCCTTAAAAATTATCGGCTGAAATCATCTATTTGAAAGGTGTATTACTCATTTCTTTTCTTTTCAAAACATGACAGCTTCCTTTAGAGCTATCTTAGAAAAAATCTTTATCAATATAAGTATTCATCGTATTACGCAAGACTTTATTCTTAATTGATTTTCTCCTTATATGACAGTAGATGATTCAGGATTGCTAGAGTGTTATAACGGAAGTAATGATGAGTAACTTCATTCTCATTTTATTATTTAATTAATTACCAATCTTGTCAAAATCGAATACTTGTTTGCTTTGGGTATTTATTCATTGGGGAAGTATGATGTTGGTAAAAAAGAAACGTTAATATTCAATCAGTAGAACCTTCCAAGTTGATAACGATCACATCTGTAATTATCATTGAACAAAATCAG